ACAGAGCAGAATAGAGACTGTTCCCCCTACATAGGGTCACTTGGCAGATATGGATTGACACCTGTCCTAAGGATCCTCAGACGCCTATCCTATGCCCCGGATAGACGAGCTCCTAGACAAAATGGCCAGAGGCCAGTACCTCACCACAATAGGTCTGTGCAAGGGGTACTGGCAAATTCCATTAGCCGAGGACGCCATCCACAAGTCGGCATTTGTCACCTTGTTTGGTCTGTATCAGTTTAAGGTCATGCCATTCGGGATGAAGAATGCCCCGGCTAACTGGATGGTAGATCGGCTACTGGATGGGTTTCAGGAGTATGCCTGTGCCTACTTGGATGATATAGCCATTTTTAGCTGCTTCTGGCCCGAACACCTGACCCACATAGGAGCCATACTAGACCGGATTAGGGAGTCCGGACTGACCCTAAAGCCCAGTAAGTGCCATATAGGAACGCGTACAAACCTCCCTAAGATAGTAGTATGGGCCCCAGAGTATGAACAGGCCTTCCAACAGCTCAAGACGGCGCTCATTAAATCACCTGTACTTTCTGCTCCTGATCCAACTAAACACTTTCTCGTCCATACAGACGCTTCTATGTTTGGATTGGGAGCAGTACTGAGCCAAGTCGGAGCAGATGGTGGCGAGCAACCCGGGGCTTATCTAAGCCGTAAACTTTTGCCCAGGGAAGTAGATACACTGCCATTGAAAAGGAGTGCATGGCGGTGGTGTGGGCCCTCAAAAAGCTGCAACCTACTTGTATGGACAACCGCTTACCTTACTCACAGATCACAACAAATTTGGGGCACTGCGCGTGCAATCTAATGTGCCACCAGATAGGAGTGGTGTGTTTAGTACTATTTTTATCAGTTTAATCCCTGTTACGTCCCCTATCCGTTGATGTGGAGCAAGACGCAGCAGCAGAAGAGGACTCAGCCGAGGAGGTTATGGAAGAGGATGGAGTAGGAGGAGTAGAGGAGGTGGCAGCAGGCCTGCCTGCAAGTCGTGGCGGTGTCACCAACTCCTCTGCAGAGCCACGCATTCCATGCTTGGCAGCCGTCAGCAGGTTTGCCCAATGCGCAGTGTAGGTGATATACCTGCCCTGACCATGCTTTACAGACCAGGTATCAGTGGTCAGATGGACCCTTGCCCCAACACTGTGTGCCAGACATGCCATTATTTCCTTTTGCACAGGGAGGGGTGCAAAACCCATGGAGTTGGCTAGACTCCTAAATATATACATATATGAGAAAATAAGGGTTTAGCTGCACCCCTCCCTGTTACAGGTGCCTCATCTCAGGATCCTATTTAAGCATTGTACTGCAGAGACCTCGAGATGGAAGGATTTCCCCAAGTGAGAAGCTCATTTAGCAGACAGAGTAGGACCTGCCAAAGATGGGGTACATTGACGCTGTGGCAGGCTTATGCAATGTATGATCATATACTGTAACTAAACCCCCATTATATTTTTTTGCCTAGATTAGATGTTTTTAATAAAACTGAAAATTGTTTAGCATTAAAATGACTGTTTAGTAGATAAGCGAGTGCGCTGGATTTTCATTTTCACCAGATATAAGTGGTGGCACAGACTGGGGAAATGGGCACAGTATCCACTGTGAGCCTGACACAGAAGCTGGCAGCAGTGGCAGACAACTGACTGCTATTCAATCTATAACAGTGAAAAAAGTTTTTTGTTTTTAAATCCAAGCTATTGTGACACCAGATATAAGTGGTGGCACTGACTGGGGAAATGGGCACAGTATCCACTGTGAGCCTGACACAGAAGCTGGCAGCAGTGGCAGACAACTGACTGCTATTCAATCTATAACAGTGAAAAAAGTTTTTTGTTTTTAAATGCAAGCTATTGTGACACCAGATATAAGTGGTGGCACTGACTGGGGAAATGGGCACAGTATCCACTGTAAGCCTGACACAGAAGCTGGCAGCAGTTGCAGACAACTAACTGCAATTACATTACATAGAAAAAAAAATAAAAAAAAGCATACCCTAACCCTAACCTAGCTATGCATTTCCCTATCTAATCAATAGCAGCTACACTTTTCCTCCTCTCACTAAGCATGCAGCTTGAGAATGAATGTAAAATTGATGCCTTCCAGTAGGTGGGAGGGTCTGCTAGGGAGGGTGTGCTGCTAATTGGCTGGAATGTGTCTGCTGACTGTGAGGTACAGGGTCAAAGTTTACTCAATGATGACGAATAGGGGCGGATCGAACCGCGCATATGTTCGCCCGCCGTGGCGAACGCGAACATGCTATGTTCGCCAGGAACCGTTCGCCGGCGAACCGTTCGGTACATCACTACTCAGGTATAGTCTTTAGTCTATTGCAATGGCAGGATTAAAGTCCACCAATTTTAAAAGGGAAAGCTTACTTAAATCAGTGGTACTATCCCACCGTACCTGTAGTGCTAGCAGTAAGGCAATTAGAGCAATGATATTGTACTACTGCCTGTAATTAGATCAGACACATGTAATCTCAGTGAATTTCATAAACTAGGTTTTCATAAAATAAATATAAAATAAGATTAAATATCAAAGTTGTTTATAAATATATCAATGTTGTTTATAAATAAATGTATATAGACTAGGCAATAAGAGCATTTACATGCATTCAGCAACCTGCTCTCTCAGAGCCAGAAACAGATTTATAAAAAAATTTAAAATAGGTTTTAAAAAGTCCACAGTCAACCACACATGATGAGTGAAATAATTGCTACTTTAAAAGCTATATGCTGCCGCAATTATGTATATAAATACTGATTAGGGCACAGAGTAGAAATAAAAATACAGTTTTAAATCTCATATGGGGATTCAGTTCCACCACATATTCTACAATTCTGTAAGAGGCTAATTTTAATAATATGTTGTAAGAGCATTGTGAATATATATAATGCAAAATTAATTTGATATTGCAAAGCCTGCAATATTCTAAACAGACATTAAACTTAAAAAAAAAAGAATAATAATGCATAAAAAATGCAGTGTGAATTAAAATAATACTCTGATATATTAAATCACATTGCATATCACATATCTGCTATATGAAAAGTATAATTAAAGGGACATTACTGTCCAATGCCCCCTCACATCTATTTTATAGAATCTATATTTTTCAGTGGTCACCTCCAAAGAAGCCTCGGAAGCTGGGGGGCTCAGAGGGGTGTTCATCCAAAAAGGAATCAGATTCCAGACTTAAAAAAAAAAAATGATAGAAAAGGAATCACGGGAACACCCAGAACATGTATTTTTGTATATAATCTTAATTTGCAGATATGTTATGCCTTAAAAACATATAAAGAATATTTAAATAAATATGCAGGTATAAATATTGAGACGGATGACGTGACATGAGTACGCCCCGTCTGAGGGGGGCTGGAGGTCTGTGCATTGAGAGGTGGCGGGAGATGCTTGGAGTAAGTGGGTGCGGAAGTGAGCGTGAGCGCTGATCAGCGTTGGTGATCGGATGGTGATCGGGGAGGAAAAGTTGTGACTATCCTCCAATTAAAAGACCGGACGCCAGCAGTGAGCTACCTGAATTTCAGGCACAAGGGCACGAAGACCGTCAAGGACACGGACATAAACGACAGACGCTGCATACTCAGCATTAAAACAACGAGACACAAGGTTTTATTCTCTCATTTGGGAGATATTAGCCTCCAGCTCATGCAAGTAGAAAACACTCAACAGACAATCAGTATACATTCAGTATATTCAGTATAAGGGCTGATTACGGTATTCATTTAGTACTTTAGTACCTGATTTGTACCTGATTTGATACATTGAATAGTGGATACTGAGAACTGAAATTGAAACTGAAAACACTGAATATTGAAATATTGTAACACTGCATAACATATAACATATTGTAACACTGCATACTCACTATTGAACTGAGATATTAGAGTGTTACAGGAGATATTGGAGTGATTTGACATAAGAGTCAACACCGATACCAGAGTTAAAATTATAATAAGAATCATATTGTTACTGGTGTCAATATTGCTACAAAAGTGCATTTGATAACTGGAGCTGATAGCGTCGTATTGCATAATATTTGCTAGTTGCTGCTGCTGCTGCTACTTGCTGCTTAATGGCCTCCATACCAAAAGTTAAAGGAAGGAAGGGCTTTCTTTGAAGAGTAAAAGAAAAGTGGGAACACAGTGACTCTTTTCTTCTTCCCTTTTTTTTTTTGGAAGGAGGAATATAGTTTTGCTTACTTTGTAAACTTTTCTGGGTAATCCTTGCAGCAGTGACCACTATTAATTACGGCTTCACGCTCTTGATTAGCGACTAATCATTTCTGGCGTGACTTGAGTTTATAATTTTTTATATTTTTTTTTTTTAATTTTATTTATAAGCTAGTAATGGCCAGCTATTAGTCAGCTATTAGTCAGCTTAATTGAGCTACTTCAACAACTGGGACACACTAAGAGACAGTGCAGCTAGATTACCGAGTGGTACTTGGAGTTCTTCTGAAGATTATGTAAACTATAGAGAGCATCTATTAGACCTGCAAATGGGGAATTGGGTAATATTGAACAGGGCCTGGAAGCATATAGCTTGAAGAACCCGAAGTCAATAGCCCCGAGTTACCCCTAAAGTATAGCTGGAGCTATAAGGACTCAAATTACCAAACTATATTACCTAAACATCAAGTTCTATTACTTTTGTATTGTAAAGATCTGGGGAAGGCTGCACACCTAGATTTATTTGAGAAACAATGGGACCCAAAAAAAAACGCCAGATAGCGACAACTGCTGTAGGACTTAAATCCCCTATACCAAATTTATCACCACATAGACTAAGTACAGACCGAATAGGCCAGGAACACAACCATATCAAGAAAGGGGCATTTCCAGGTTTTGAACCTTTAAGTTCACCAGTAAGCCCTACGATATCAGATGGTTCAACAGAAGGCCCAGATTTTAGAACAATCCTGGCACAACTACCTTCTAAAGCGGATTTGATGGATATGTTTAAAAAAAATGGAAGATTGTTTTGGTGAAAAATTAAAAGCGGTCACCTCAGAAATACATCATTTAGGAGATAGGGTTTGTGCATTGGAAGATAATCAAGAAATAAATGAAAATCAGTGGACTGAATGTCGGAAATTACAAAGATCGCAGACTGAAGCTATTCTGTCCTTACAAAGGAAACTAGATGATATCGATAATCAGGGAAGACTAAATAATCTACGGATAAGAGGGGTCCCTGAAACCAGGCAGGATGAACTAGAAGAGCCTACAAACATTCGTATTCATATTTTCAATCAAATTTTAGGAAGATCTCCGGACTCTAAGATCAAGCTTGATAGAGCGCATAGAATAGGAAGACCAAGAAATCCACCACAAGAAAATCCTCGAGATTTAATCTGCTGCATCCATGACTTTTTATTAAAGGAAAAGATAGTACAGAAAGCCCGACTTATGAAGGAAATTAAATTTGATGAACATTCTATTGCAGTTTTTCAAGATCTTTCACCTTCTACCCTAATGGCACGTAAGGCTTTGAGACCGATCACTCTTCTATTGGGACAGAAACAAATAAAATATCAGTGGAACTATCCATTTGCACTAATGGTTTTTCAATGCACTAATGGTTTTTCAACACTCCAAAATACATACGATAAAGACACCAGCAGATATACCAGATTTCTTACAAGCTCTGGGGCTCCCTCCTATTGAGATTGAAGACTGGACAGGTTTTTCAGGCATCCCACCACTACAAGAGCTACAAAAACCTAAATGGCAAAGCAAAACAAAAAATAAAAACACTGCTGAGGCCACTAGGGAATGATTGCCTTAATAACATCAGAAGGTCCTGTGAAGCGTGTTAGCATGAGATGACGCGTTAGGGTAATTGGCTTGAATTCAGTAGCCAGAGGTATGGAATTTTTTTATTGTTACTATGGTACAGATTAGTTGTATGTCTTTGAACGTTAATGGTCTGAGCTCCCCAAGGAAACGCTCTATCCTGGTACAGGAATTAAATCTGACGCAAAAAATAAATAAATAAATATGCAGGTATCTTTAAAAATTAAGCAATGTTAAAAAAAAATAATAATAATAATAATAAAAATGTATATATATATTTATTTTACACCACAATATAAACAGCTTTGTTAAACAGATTTAGGTACAAGTACTTATGACAAGTATACAGAATACGTTTACAACAGGCAGGTTTAGCATAAATGCAAAGTTGTTGTTTTTGGGGATTTATTATTGCCCAAGAAATCTCTGAACAAATTCAGAAATTTTGAGAGCAGCAAGTAAGACAGCAGATTGCAATGGACACCATTACAATATTGCTTTGCCGATTGAGGTCAGAGCTTTAAAGAATAAATAAATGTTCTATAGCTCACTAGACCACTGGTATTTAATGAACAGTTTGCACAACACTTACAAAATAGTTTGTTATACTGCACATTATAGCTGTGACAACATGATATACAGAGTAAAAATACGATTTCACTGTTTAATAGACTTACCCAGTATTTAAGGATGACATGTTTCTTGCAAAGTCATCGGGACTTTGAGGGAGGTTCTAACTAATTAAATAATTTACTAAAAAAAAAGAAAAAAGATTTTGTTTTGTTTTTCTTGCAAGTGAATTGACAGCGCAAGGTCATTTTGTGTTCACAGACTTCGTTTTTTTTTAAAATTCCTATGCACACTAAAAGTTGTCTTTTAAATGTTATTGTTTTAACTTTAATATTTCATAGTTACTACAGAGGATAAAGTAATTTAAAGAAAGTATATTGAAAGTATATTAATTGATAAGATTTCATTTATCTATTTTGGTCCACTGTTCACTGATCTCGAGTCTGTCTGGTGTTCAAACAGTTTTTCTTACGATACGTCGTGAGTTTATATCCACAACTGCATTTTGCTTTGTGATAACAAATTGAAAGCCTGGCATTGTAATATGTGTATGGACATGCTTATAACAAAGCATGGGCCCTCTCCTCATGTACTTGTAAAAGGCACTTTGATGCAATGTGTCTACCAACGCTTTTCTGTGGTCACTGGATCACATCGCATACCCTATCTCTGTCATGATGCAGAGTTTATGCTTGCAAGGATATCCAGAAATAATCCACCTGGTATCCGCATAAATACTCCTATCATTTAGAGGGGTAATTACATAATAACCATTGAACGTAATAAGTTGGTTGTTCTTCCTGTAAAGGAAAAAGAGACTTGCCCTAAAAGCTTTTTCATGGCTAGAACAAGCTCATATAGAGAGAAGTAATGTACTTCTGACTCCTGAAAAGGAATATTGGTGGTCACAATATGGGAAATACTGTAATTCATGTGTTTAGTAATCATAAGCATTTGCTTATTGCCACATTACTGATGTACTGTTTATTGAAATATTAATATCTAACATACGTTTTGAATTACTATATATTGGAAGTTTGCCAACATCTCATGGTTATAAATATGTTTTTGTATGTGTTGATGCATGTACCAGGTTTACTTGGATATATCCTGTGCGAAATGCAACCTCTGATACCACGTTTTCTAGTCTCACTTCCTTAGTATGCATTTGATAATCCCAGGACCATCCATTTGGATGGTGGTCCTGCAGTTACTGCAAAGGAAACCTAAAACTGAGCAACCACATTTGTGTTACTTTGGGATTTCAGTGCCCCAACCACCCCCAAAGTAGTGGGGTTGTGGTCTGGGAAAATGCTGAGGTTAAATGATTATTAACCAAGTTACTAGTTGCTTGCCCCACACAGTGGTATCTATTTATTCCTATGGTACAGATGAGCATTCACAACATACCTGATGATACAAATGGTGAGACACCATATGAAATGTTACATGTTTTTTCACTGACAATTATATTTCTGCACCAGGGAGAGCTTAGAACCATTGGTTCTATTAGAGAAATTTAGGGAATTTTTTTTTCAGCCCACCTCACTATGCACCACCAACTTTTTCTTACCGTTGGCCAGTTTGTCCTGGAGAGGGTGACTCCGAGAACTTTTACTACAGAGAACAATCAGAGCCAACAAAGAACAGTAAGTTTTGATATTTTACAACCTGCTAAATACTAACAGGACGTTCACAGAACCACTGACTGATACAACGGATGCTGTTAAAGATGACAAGATAAATCAAACAGAGGACGACAGAAATGCCACGAGAATCATAGCCACGTAACAGATTGAATCATGATTTGAGATCTGAACCTGCAAATGTGAAGGAGAAGGATGAACAGACAGACGTGATACATTCACAGTTAACATGGAATGTATGAAAAATGAATCATCAACATCTTTATAAGAAAGACTCTGGAGAAAACAGACTGAGCCTGAATTATCTTATACAGTAAGAAAGAAATTCAAAGATGGAAGCAAAAGGATCCTATCATTAATAGGTTAACATACCCTTCTGAACATATCATCATGTCAGCCTCTCTGTCATTTAACCCCTTCAGGACGGAGTCAATAGTACACGTTCTGATCAAAACAAAACGTAAACAAAAACTGGAATTTGCGCTGTATGTCTTCACCCGTAATTCACCGCTGTCACATTAAGTGCACCCACACTTATTATATATCATTTTGTTCAGGGCTTTAATTTATCATTAACTATTCATATATGGAACATAATTTATTATAAATAAAATTTTAAAAAAGTGAGAAAATAAGATTTTTTTTAAAATTTGTATTTCCGTCTGACATTTTAGCTGTCATAATACTGTTAGGTTTTACTGCAAAAAATGCACATATTTGTAATCAGCGATGTCTCACAAGTACAACGGTACCCCCCAATAACAGGTTTTATGGTGTTTTGGAAAGTTACAGGGTCAAATATAGAACGTTCCATTTTCAAATTGAAATTTGCCAGATTAGTAATGTTACCTTTGAGATGGTGTGGTAGCCCAGGAATGAGAATTACCCCCATAATGTAATACCACTTGAAAAAGAAGACAACCCAAGGTATTGTTTATATTCTTTTTTAGTAGCCACTGGCCAAAGTTAGCGTTCATATTTGTTTTTGTGTGAAAAAAGCAAAAAACTAATATTTGGCCAGTGTTTGTGACTAAGTGGCTACTAAGAAAGACTGGACATACCCCACTTGCAATACCTTGAGTTGTCTACTTTTGCAAATGGTATGCCATCATTGGGGTAATTCTCATTCCTGGGCTACCACACCATCTCAAAGGTAACATTACTGTTTTTAAAACAGTAAAACATATTACAACAATAATATAGTCCATAAAAGTGCCGTTCATTTGTAAAAAATGCAAAAAACGTCACTTTTACTTAAAATATCATTGTTGTAATAAATTTACCAGTTTGAAACACTAATATTTGAGTTCAGCGAAGTCTCCCGAGTAAAATAGTACCCCCTATGTACAGGTTTTATGGTATCTTGGAGAGTTACAGGGTCAAATATGGTGCTTGCGAATTAAATTCTCTGCACTTTCTCCCTGTATTGTCAGGCATGTCAATCAAATTTTAATTAATAAAATCACATAGTTATGTTAAAAGATTATTGAAATATACACGTAGAATTTTAATATATATGCATTTATAGGTATTTAAATTCTATGTGTATACTAATGTAATCTTTTATGTAATTATATGTATATATCTATATAAATATATTTGTGGTTATTTGTATTTTATATATAGATAGATTGTCATTCTAAGTGTATTTTGTTACCAATATATATATATTAATAACAAAATACAGTTAGAATGAAATTACATATGAATATATAATTTATATTAAATTTTGTTTCAATATTTTATTTATTTTATTATTTTATTTATTATTGTAATTATACGTATATGTATATATATATATATATATATATATATATAATATATATGTGTATATATCTATTATTATATATATGTAACATCATTCTAAGTGTATTTTAATATTAATATATGTACTTATATTAATATTAAAATACACTTTGTATGACGTTACATATATATAATATGTATATATATTATAAATATAATATATATACATGTATTATATATAAAATACTTTTAATTTAATTTTACACATGTTTATTTTTTTTTATTTTATTTTTTTTACATTTCCCACCAGCTATAGGGGGCCTCATTTGCCAGGGGAGGGCTGCCTGGGCTGTCAGGCAGACCTCCCGAAGAGGATCGCGGCAGAGGTGAGTATGCCGGACCTCCTGGGGGCTTAAGCCGTTACGGCGTTCTATGCCGCCGCAACGGCTTTAAAGCCCTTTAAAGCCGCGACAGCATAGAACGCCGTAACGGCGTTAAGGGGTTAAAGATGGAGCAGCGTCTGTCTCCAAGTCTCTCCTCTGTGTTTTAACATTTTAAAAGTACCCCTATTTAAGCCCTCGACGGAAGGCAAGCCTCAGCGGGCTACCGGAGTAGAGTGTATTGTTTGCCATATTAGCTCTATGTTATCAAGTATGTTATACATGCTAGCTTCTGCGCAACCCAAAACTGTTGAAGTATCCTCACTATGCCTAACGAACGAAAAATAAAGAATGGGGGAAAAAGAAAAAGTACAGTTATTTATACCTCAGGTGTCTTCATTTTAGGGTCACCGTAGTTCATATATGAAGAAGTAACACTTCCTTTACTTTATTCATTTTAGGACCTCCCTTAACTTGGCAAACATACAAGGCCATAACTAAAGGGTGCATACGTCATGGAAATTTTCCTGACTTAGTTCAAGATGGCATCTTAAAGTCTGAATAGCTTATCTGTTGTTTATACTAAGTCGTAAGTGCACAGTCGTGGGAGATTCCCGGATTTGGGGAAGTTCCATTAACTTGGGGTTACCACAGTATATTGTGTACTGCAAGTGTCGTAGCATAGCCTTGAAACTTGTTTATGCATTATTGTTATTGTAATTAGTCTGGGACAAAATGGCGCAAACATATTATGCACTGAGGTTATTGCTTAAAGAAACAGTTATGAAAAACAATATGTTCCATTTCTAACACCTTGTCAGTTTGAAATATCTCTTAAAGACAAAGTACACAGTTTAAGAAATACAACATTTCATTCTAAAACTTGTAATATTTGCATTTGCCTATAACAACACGATCATAAACAAGATCAACCAGGACTCAGCGTCAACCTTGGACACACCAATCAGCACAGAAGAACTAGCCGTGGCCCTTAAAGCATCCAAAACTGGTAAGGCTCCTGGCCCAGACGGCTTCTCCACGGGATATTATAAAAGCTTCTCGGGAGTATTGCTGCCGTGGCTGGCCAAAGCACTCAACGCTATAGGGGAAGGAGGAACCCAGGGATCGGAATCACTGGCAGCTACCATCACGGTTCTACTTAAACCGGGGAAGGACCCGCTACTGTGCGGAAGTTACCGACCAATCTCATTGCTGAATGTTGATGCTAAACCATTTATGAAAGTCCTGGCAACCAGACTTAATCACCTTCTTCCACTTAATCCACGTGGACCAGACGGGATTTATCCCAGGCCGAGAGGCCAGAGACAGTACCCTACGACTCTTTTCCATCCAACACCACACAAGGAAAACGGGGACCCGGTTACTACTGCTATCCACCGACACGGAAAAAGCATTTGACCGGGTCAACTGGACGTATATGTTGGCGACATTGAGGCAGCTGGGATGCGGTCAAAGACTCCTCACATGGATATCTGCTCTGTATAATAGACCGCGGGCAACCATCAGGGTTAATGGGGCCACGACTGCTGACTTTGTGATCAGCAATGGAACCCGACAGGGTTGCCCACTCTCGCCGTTGTTCGCGATGACCCTGGAGCCATTGTTACAGGCAATTCACCAGAACCCAGACATACAGGGATATGATTGCCAAGGAGAACAACATAAAGTGGCTGCATACCCAGATGACCTCCTCTTCTTTGTCCGCAACCCCAGAACCATGACATGTCTCCTCTCGGAATTCGATAGATTCGGACAGATATCCGGATTTAAGCTTAACATCTCAAAATGTGAGGTTCTGAACATCACACCCCACAGAGGAATTCGTGTCTCTAGAATCGCAATTCGCATTTCACTGTTGCCACGGCAAGATGAAATACCTAGGCGTATGGGTGTGTAATCGTGGCTGATTCCCTTATTTACCACTATAATGTCTTAAAGCATAGAACCTAGTAAGACTAACCATACAGATATCTTAGCCATAATTTTATATAGTTAGTAAGAGATCCTCTATTTAACATATATAAATAATTGATAATACAATATAAAATAAGGATTGTCTTGGAAGCAATAGTTTTGTCTTTTAGATATTTATTATATAAAAATATAAATATAGACATATAAAATCCATTATAGCAGAGTTTATAAGATTAAACTAAATGCTTGCAAATATCATTAATAGGTTAACATACCCTTCTGAACATGTCATCATGTCAGCCTCTCTGTCATTTTAAGATGGAGCAGCGTCCATCTCCAAGTCTCTCCTCTGTGTCTTAACATTTAAAAGTACATTGGCAAACATACAAGGCCATAACTAAAGGGTGTATACGTCATGGAAATTTTCCTGACTTAGTTCAAGATGGCATCTTAAAGTCTGGACATCCTTATCTACTTAAGGTTACCACAGTATATTGTGTACTGAAAGAGTCGTAGCATAGCCTTAAAGCTTGTTTATGCATTATTGTAATCCGTCTGGGACAAAATGGCGCAAACATATTATGCACTGAGGTTATTGCTTAAAGAAACATCAATGAAAAACAATATGTTCCTGTAACGGACCGTTTTGCCCACAAGAGGTTAAAAACCATTTAGGCGATATTCCCCTTTCAGATGCACAGGCACAGCTACTGCAGAACACCAGTCCGCCGAACAGGAAACCATATGAATGCCGTAAACAGCCGAATAGGAAAAACCATACGAATAGGTTTACACTCCTAGCAGTCAAACTGGAACAGCATACAGTAAATCCCCCCAAGAACGAGACAAAGCTCCGTGTTGAGGGTCAAGCAGTGAACAGACAGAGCTGTGGGTTTATTGTTCTTATGTACACATTCTTACACATTAGTACCACCCACAGGGTTTTGGAACACAACCAATAAGCACATACAATACACTCAGACACTCCCACACAAAATCCTCCCCTCTGCCTGTGATACAATTACCTTACACAATGGGTAATGTAATTATAACAAGCAGAGAAATAAAAATTTTCCACATTATTCATAACTTGAAAAGTATGCATCACATTCACATATAACTTACATTTTCAGAATCAGCATACTCCAAGTACAAACATACGTCAAAATCATACAAATTGGTCCAGTGGTTCACAAGATAGATCGTAGTCCTTTGTGACCAAAGTAAGCATGGCTTTTCTGCCCAAAACCAGTTCCACAGAGTCTTCTATCCTGGAGATAATTGGGAAGTAATCCAATTATCTCCAAGGACAGAGGCAAAACTCCATTGAACACATGGCAGCAAAAGACGATAAAACACATAAAAACATATAACTGTGCAGCCATTGCACAAAACAGGTACATTAAACATATCCCCAGATAGCTCAGATCTGAGGGCACATTATTACTGAATGGCGCTCAGAACACACACATACAGTTCAATTGCCATGGAGCCAAAGTCTTTCCCATAGTCTTTCATTATACGAATGGGCTCCATGGCATAGCTATCTGGGGTATCACCGCTCAAACAGGACAAGCACCAAATGACCCGGCTTTCATGTCTTTGCAGGGGAAAATCAAGCCTTTTAACATGGGGCCATAATCCAAAGGCAACAGGCAAGCAACCAGGCTTCTCCAATGCAATGTGGCGAGATTGGTCTCGTCACAGTTCCATTTCTAACACCTTGTCAATTTGCAATATCTCTTAAGGACAAAGTACACAGTTTAAGAAATACAACATTTCATTCTAAAACTTGTAATATTTGCATTTGCCCATAACAGGTGACCACGGACCCGGGGGATACATTACGACACAATTTTACACCCCCACTGAAGATCATCCTCGCGGACCTGTCCAGGTGGTCATATCCACATGTGACCTGGCACGGAAGAATCACGGTGATCAAAATTAATATACTCCCGAGGATCCTATATCTCATGCAGACCATACCTCTCGCTATACCAGCGACTTTCTTCTCCGCCCTGAAAACGGCGGTGACTAGATTCGTATGGCGGTAAGAACAAGCTAGGATTCGACACAACGTCCTATGCCGACCAAAAAATTATGGAGGATTGGCGCTGCTGGACTTTAAAAAATATCACCAAGCCACGGTTATGCAACGTATACTTGACTGGCACTTGGTACCAATGACCAAACAATGGGTGGAGCTTGATAGATACCTCATTGGACCAACACTGGAGGCAAGGATCTGGGGGAAACCTGGAGGACGAACAACCCATAGCGACAGCGAGGGGATGGTCCTACAGACATAGCTGGAAGACATTCAGGCTGCAGGCCCACATATCACCCACGCCCAGTTCAATGATGCCAATCACGCACAATGAGGCCATGGGGGGGACACTCCCCCCCCCCCCTCTGGAGCGTGGCCCAACCCGAATACTGGATCATATATACCCATACATAGGGCTCTAACGGATGGGAGACTGCAAGATCCACCTTCGCTGCTGGGAGATAGACCACAAACTCCTCTCTCCCTACTCAGATACCTACAACTGAAACATTTCTATGATGCGCTATCACACTAAGATCGCTTACATGGTTTGAAAACCTTTGCAAACGAGGCACACCACTAGAACACACAATTTCAGCACTCTATCAACACTTGATGACCGGCGACATACCCACAGCCACCACGTTCAAACGTCAATGGGAGGATCAACTCGGATAACCACTCACAACCCAGCAATGGGATAAAGCAATGATATGGCACCATAAGAGCTCCATGTGCGCCTCTTACCAGGAAATGAATTACAAATTGCTCTCCCTCTGCTACAGAACACCATCCTTACTATACCGCATCTTTCCATCGATCCCCTCGGCATGCTGGAGGTGCCAGGCAGAGCGCGGCATGGTACTACACATGGTGGGAGTGCAGAGGTATCATCCCGTATTGGGAAATGATTAGGGAAACAGTGACACTTATCTTGGGAGACATAACAGAGTGGGACGCAGAATTGGCACTATTACACATCTCGGCAAAACCTATACCATCGTATAAGAAATCGATACTACGACACCTGCTCAATGTGGCCAAAGCCAACATACCAGCTCACTGGAAAAAGAGTGAAACACCCACTAAAAAGGAATGGATTCGCAGGGTGGAAGATATCCAGGGAGCGGAGGAAACACATGCCTCTCTGACAGGACGAGGAACCAGGCATGCGGAGATGTGGATGCCATGGTTCTTACACATCACCTGTTATCGGTGGGATGGAGACGCATCTGGTGCGGTGGCGGGGGCGGCTGCAGATGTGAATCCCACTTAATTTGCATGACCCTCAAATGAAGTGTCGTCTCGTTCTTGGGGGGAATTGGATTGTATGCTGTTACAGTGCGACTGCCAGGAGTGTAAACTGTTTGTATGGTTTTTCCTGTTCGGCTGTTTACATACTTTTTCCACCTGCACTGTGAATGTTTACATGGTGTGTTCAATAAAAACATGGCAACATTTCATTCTTTGTGTGTTATTAGTTTAAGCAGACTGTGATTGTCTATTGTTGTGACTTAGATGATGATCAGATCACATTTTATGACCAATTTGTGCAGAAATCCATATCATTCCAAAGGGTTCACTTACTTTTTCTTGCAACTCTATGTCATGCTCTGGGGACTTCGATGAGAAGGAGCATTGCTGCTCGCATGGTGTTTGGCTTGGTTTGAGGCACAGGGCAAGGAATGTGATATCCCAGAAAAGCAAAAGGAAATGGCCCAAAATGGGGGCAAAAAAAAGTTGGGCAGGTGTGAGTATTGGAAGTGAAGGAGGGATAAGAAGTTATAAACGATAATGGGAGTGGTAGGAGACGGAGTAGAGGAGAGTAGGGCCGCCATCAGAAATTTTGGGGCCCCTAACACAGCTCAAGGTCTGGGCCCCCCTTCAAGCCTGCCCACAGGGTCCGCCTCCAAATCCCACCCGCAGTACCGATCCGAGGGCCGCCCGCTGTAGTCTACACGCCCACTCAGCATGCAAGTCTTTCTCGGCTTTCTTTAATTCCCTGAACCGCCTATGGTATGCCTCTGGTGTGATGGCATACCAGGCCAGTATAATTTATTTTACTCTACTGTAGTCCCGGATTTCCTCATCTGGTACAGTATGATAAGCTTCTGCTGCTCTCCCAGTTAATTGCCCAGCCAAAATGTGAACCCAATCTTCTGCACTGATCTTATGCAAGGCACACAGTCTTTTAAAATCTTGGAGGAATGCATCTATGTCTCCCTCTGCCTCCACATACATTTTGAATGCTTGGTAAGGTATTTTTGGCTTACCCTCTTGTACCATGGTTACTGCAGTGCTGCGTTCTGGGGTTGACGTTGTCCTTTGCCTTAGTACAAACTCTTGGACCTCCGTCATTGTCCTGGAGATGATCTCTGCTGGTAGATTCTCCCCATAAAAGGACAGCCTAAATTGTAGCTGCCTTTGAAATTCCATTTGTTCTTGTCCTTCCACTGCATCACTACGTTCAGGAACTGAACTGCCATCTGTGCGGTATTCTGCCATGACTTCAGCAATAAGAACAGCTTTAGTTTTGTTGCTGGCTGGAATACCCCCTGCTTCCAGGAGATCTTTTAGCGTGGAGCGTTTTAGTGTGGAATAGTCAATCTCCATTCGCACTCTATTGGTACTTGTTCCTCTGTGAGTCTAGATCCTGGCGCTGCCAACCAATGTAGCGGAGAGCTGGTCTTTCACAGTTAACTCCACTAAAGATCCCAGTAAGGCTCAGGAACAAGTTATAAAATACCATAGGATAATAATCACAGCAAGCAAGGTAATCCACAAATATCCCAATACGGATCCCAATGACTGGACGACACACAGCATCAGGAACAGAACTGACTTTTAATTCACACAACCTCCTTATAAAGCATTCTCCCATGCAAGGGAGGGATTTGCAATAATTATTACAGTAACCAATCCTCCACGAGTTGCCACCCACACATCCCCTCCCCTTAGTGTGACACATAATCACATTATACAGGACACAAATTCCCCGAGTTTCTGGATGTACCCCTAAACATAGGGGTACCCCTTTAAATGTTACATCCCCTGGTAGCCCGGATCTGGGTGAGACACATATCCAAAAATCACCCAGATCGGACCAGGGGTTGGAGAAATTTATGGAAGTACTAAAAAGACCGACCGCGCTTGGTTTAACAGCCGAAACGGGCTCCATGTGTTTTGGCCCTGCGGTCGGTCACAGAAAAGGGAATGTAACACACAAATGGCTTATGTTAGGAGAGCTGGGGAGGTTTCGTATAATTTCCCTTGCTCGTGGGGTTCAAACTACCGAACGGGAAGCCGTTCAGTAGTTTGTATACGAATTGGCGGCAGTGTGGAGGTCTCAGTGGTGTTTGCCTAACTGAGTGTCCGATTTGGGTTCCAGACACTCGACGGCAAAACAACCGCTTGTTTGGGAGTTTAAAATGGCCGCCGCCACGTGATCGTCTCCCGAATGGCGGCCAACCAGAGAACAAAGGACCCACTACACGAACCGCCAATTAACCGTTTGCAACATTGTTGCGAACAGTAATTGGAGGCACATTTCCTACTGGGGTGGTTTGATTGTTCGGTAGTTTCACTCGCATAATAACTGGAGTGATTTTACCGAACAATCAGTCGAATGCTACATACACTTCACATATACAGGTTACAATTCAACCGAATACATAGACATAAATGCACTTTTTAGGATAGCCCAATGCCATCCGGTACAGTATCCATGAACAGCATGCTGCTTATGCTTTTAATGATTTCAATGAAAACATGGCGGCTGCTGGTTATAAAATAAAAAATAAACATGAATGCCCTTCTAACCCATCCATCACATGAAGAGATCTTGGCTAAAAAGACTCTCATCCAGGGCTTCAGCCCCCAAAGTACCCCCTTGCACAAGCCAAACACCACCACACATTCTCACATAACTACTTCACTAGTCGCATACAAACATACGTATATCTAATTGTTCACAGATGCACTTACTAAGCAACATTCTCATATATATCCACATTACATTCATTTGCTTATTTATATAAGCATGCATACACAATCTTACTGCTTGGTGGTTTTGCAGCTGAATCTGGTGCCCCCTTAATGCCCGATATCCTGCCCCTAAAAGTGTTGCCTGGGTTCCATCATGAACCCACCTCAACCACTTATGTGCCATCCCAGTGAAGGTGTATATTATAGTAATAGTAAATACTGTTAGCTATATGTTTTATATAAACACTGCATGGTGTGTAATGTTTTTTTACAAGCATTTCAAACATTTTTATATCGAAATGTATTTATATAAACAAACCAATATAGCAACATATATTTTTGCATGGTAAAAATGTATTTACATTTTGTGTGTGTGTGTGTGTGTTAATATTATAAGTAATATATTGCAGTTACATAAACTTTACATGCTGAATATTGAATGCAATACATTTTAAATATATGAACATGTTATACTGTAGAATGTATACAAACACTGTGTGCTGTGTATTGAAGTTATAAAAACCATTGCATACTGTACAATGTTTTATATTGCCTGTTATATTTGTATAAGTATTGCTTTTGTATAATGTATTTATTTAAAGTATGAATGATATGTATTTGTATAAATATAGCTGGGTATATATTGTATTTGTTTACAACGTAACATCTTGTATAATGTATTGACATAACTATTGCATGCAGTATAATGCATTGATATAGATAGTGCATGGTGTACAGTGTACCAATAATAATGAATGGTTTATAATATAATTATAACATAATGCATTTATATTATTAATTTATTATTTATATAGCGCCATCACATTCCGTAGCGCTGTACAATGTATATATAACAAATACTGCTGTATGATGAACTAATATAAAATTGCATGATGTATGCTGTACGTACTTATATTTTTGCATGTTGCATTGATTTAAACATGATTTGCTGTATAGTGTGTTTATATAAACATTACATGTTGTATGTTGTATTTACATGGATATTGCCTTCTATATAATGGGGTTTTATATAAATATTGGTTATTATTTATATATTGCCAACATTGTCCGCCGCGTCCTGCAATTATAGTATGGGAATAATTGACCAGTGAGCTTACAATCTGCTGCAATATGGTATCTGTATAAGAGTTGCCTGGTCATTAATGTATTTATATAAACAGTATAAAAGTGCTTATATATTTTATTTCTATATTTTTTTCCCCTGCTATATAATGTTTATATAAATATTGAAGGGGGTACTTCCATACACTGCTTGTTGTGTATTGTATTTCATTGTATGATAAACAGTCTGAATGGTGTGTAATCTATTTACTGGTATAAACATTGCATGCTGTGTGTTTTTATATAATGTTTGCAGACCATATATGATGTTTAATAATAATAATGTATTTTTTATTATTGCCAGAGATTCTCCAGCTGGCTAGGTCTGCCTTGCCGAATTCTCAGGGATAGGTTTATCTCGTTGCCATGGTAGCTGCTGACGCTAGACGTTACGTGCTGACGTCATGTGACCGGCACCTCGTTCTGTGTAGCAACCGCTGCTACGAATGCCGAGGACATGGGAATGAGTGGAGGCATGGAGCAGCCTACAGGCAGAGCAGGTAACCCGGGAGAGCGCACTTCCTCATCAACCTCCTCACCGACAGCCTGTACCCAAACTGCTCACAGCGCTGCAACCTGGTACCCACACTACTACACTGCCAGCCTGTACCCACACTACTACACTGCCAGCCTGTACCCACACTACTACACTGCCCCCACTGCCAGCCTGTACCCACACTACTACACTGCCATCCTGTACCCACACTACTACACTGCCCCCACTGCCATCCTGTACCCACACTACTACACTGCCAGCCTGTACCCACACTACTATACTGCCCCCACTGGCAGCCTGTACCCACACTACTACACTGCCCCCCACTGCCAGCCTGTACCCACACTACTACACTGCCAGCCTGTACCCACACTACTACACTGCCCCCACTGCCAGCCTGTACCCACACTACTACACTGCCATCCTGTACCCACACTACTACACTGCCCCCACTGCCATCCTGTACCCACACTACTACACTGCCCCCACAGCCTGTACCACATCAATATACTGCCCCCACTGCTGTGCCTGTACCCACACCAATACACTGCCTCCCTACTTCTGTGCCTGTACCCACACTACACTGCCCCCACTGCCAGTCTGTACCCACACTACTACACTGCCCCCCCACTACTACACTGCCCCACCACTGCCAGTCTGTACCCACACTACTACACTGCCCCCACTGCTAGTCTGTACCCACACTCTGTTGCCAGTCTGTACCTACACTACTATACTGCCAGTCTGTACCAACACTACATTACTGCCAGTCTGTACCCACACTACTATACTGCCAGTCTGTATGCACACTACTATACAGCCCCCTCTGCCAGTCTGTATCCACACTACTATACTTCCCTCTACACTGCCAGTCTGTACCCACACTACTATACTTCCCTCTACACTGCCAGTCTGTACCCACACTATGTACTGCCCCCTATACTGCCAGTCTGTACCTACACACCTCGTTCCCCCTATACTTCCACTCTCTACCCACACATCTTAATGCCACTATACTCCCAATCTGTGCCCACACAGCTCACTGTTCCATATACTGCCACCATATACGCATCCATAAATTTATCTACTGTGCCCTACTCTATTTGCCCATTTGCAGTGGCAGCGTGTATTGAATCTGTTTTTTTTTTTGTGCCATACCATTCTCTTTCCTCAACCTAATGCTCATGTCACAGTTTGTAAACAAAAAAGATAAAAAGGTGGGTGAATAAACAATATGGACTACTGATAAACCAAGTGCAGGCAAGCCTCTGTAAATTGGATACTCCAAATCCAATAAAAAACAGCAAATATATACAAACTAACAGGGCGCCACAATCACTAAATAGGTATATATATATAAAAGTGTGGCGAAACCAACCTCGCCACTGTGCACTGGAGAAGCCTGGTTGCCAGCCTCCTGCCATCTGACTATGGCCCCCTTTTAAAAGACTTTATTTTTGCCTGCAGAAAAGCTGTATTCGTGCTTTTCTGCCTGGGGTTCGGTAGATGTGTTTGAATGTGTTATACCCCAGATAGGAATCCCATGGAGCCCATTTGTATGAAACTGACTGTAAAGACTTTGGCTCCATGGCGATTAAACTGTATTTGTGTGGTCTGAGCGCCATTCACTTAATAATGTGCGCTCAGACCTGAGCTATCTGGGGATATGTGAAATGTCTGTGTGTTATGTGTAAAATGTGACTTTATGTATTTTAAAGTGTTTTGTGTCTTTTTGCAACCATGTGCTTAATGGAGTCTTGTGTCTGTCCTGGGAGATAATTGAATTACTCTCCAGGATAGAAGACTCTGAAACTGGTTTGGGCCAGAAAGCCATGCTTCATTTAGTCACAAAGGACTTTTTACTAATCTTTTGAACCCCTTGTCTGATGTGTGCCATTTTTGAATATGTTGTTCCCCTGAATGGATTGATTGTGAATATGTAATTTTATGTGAATGTGATGTATGGTTTTGGAGTTATGAAAGTTGGGTAGAAAGTATGTTTTAACTGTATGTATAATTGAGTTTCCTCTCAGGATAAGGGGAGGGAATATGTGGGATGTAACTGTGATGTGATTGGTTGTTTTGTAACGCCCTGTGGGCTGTACTATGTTTTGTGGATTGTAATAAAAACCAGGCTGGGTGTGCCAGCAAGAGAGATTCTGCTTAACCCTCAAAACGAAGTGTCGTCTCGTTATTGGGGGAATTGGATTGTGTGCTGACTGCCAGGAGTGTAAGCCGTTTGTATTGCTTTTCCTGTTCCGGCTGCTTCCAGGGTTCCTGTGTCTGCTGTTCGAGAGTTGGTGAATACGTGCAGTTTGGAGTTCAGGAGGTTGGTGATTGCAGTAGCTGCTGGTCTATGGGAAAGGGGATTATCGCCTAAACCGATTTTATCCCCTTGTGAGAGAAACGGTCCGTTACAATTGGTGGCAAGCGGCGGGATCGTTCCTACAACCAGGAAGACAGCTACAGGGCAACACCATTCCTTGGATTACAAAGTGAGGGCAACGCCAGTACACGTACAGCGACCCTATCGACAAAAGAACCAACTTCAGCAGCGCAAGCATGGCACCTAGCTACACTCAGGAGCAGTATGACAGAGAGTTTGCTATGCGGCTGGCTTTCTTTGGACCCAACCCCCGGAGAAATACGTGCAGTTCGTAAGGAGCCAGGTAGACGAGTACCTGGAGTTCATGGCAGATCCAGCCAAAGGTATCAGCCGCCCTATCCGGAGGCAGAGTGCGTTACGGGGACTCATAGGTGTACCCCAGGGAGCTAAAGGTGCCGTCCTTCCTCCCCAGCGGCAGTGTGTACCCCAGGGAGCTGAAGGTGTCGTCCTTCCTCCCCAGCTGCAGTGGGTATCCCAGGGAGCTGAAGGTGCCGTCCTTCCTCCCCAGCGCAGTGTGTATCCCAGGGAGCTGAAGGTGCGTCCTTCCTCCCCAGCGGGTAGCAGTAAATTCCCCAGGGAGCAGAAGGTGTCAGCCCTTCCTCCCCATAGCTGCAGTGTGTACCCCAGGAGCTGAAGGTGTCAGCCCTTCCTCCCCAGCTGCAGTGTGTGGTGGTCCCAGGGAGCTGAAGGTGCCGCCCTTCCTCCCCAGCGGCAGTGTGTTCCCCAGGGAGCAAGGTAGAAGGTGGCCGCCCTTCCTCCCCAGCTGCAGTGTAGGCCTCCCAGGGAGCCGAAGTGCCGCCTCCCCAGCGTAGCAGGTACCTAGGAGCCAAAGGTGCCGCCCTTCCTCCCTAGCTGCAGTGACATACCCCAGGAGCAGAAGGTGCAGTCCTTCCTCCCCAGCGGCAGTGTACCCCAGGGAGCTGAAGGTGCCGTCCTTCCTCCCCAGCTGCAGTGTGTGTCCCAGGGAGCTGAAGGTGTCGTCCTTCCTCCCCAGCGGCAGTGTGAGTCCCAGGGAGCCAAAGGTGTCGTCCTTCCTCCCCAGCGGCAGTGTGTACCCCAGGGAGCAGAAGGTGCCGTCCTTCCTCCCCAGCGGCAGTGTGTATCCCAGGGAGCTGAAGGTGCCGTCCTTCCTCCCCAGCAGCAGTGTGTATCCCAGGGAGCTGAAGGTGCCGTCCTTCCTCCCCAGCGGCAGTGTGTACCCCAGGGAGCAGAAGGTGCCGTCCTTCCTCCCCAGCGGCAGTGTGTGTCCCAGGGAGCTGAAGGTGCAGTCCTTCCTCCCCAGCGGCAGTGTGTGTCCCAGGAGCTGAAGGTACCGTCCTTCCTCCCCAGCGGCAGTGTGTATCCCAGGGAGCCGAAGGTGCCGTCCTTCCTCCCCAGCGGCAGTGTGTCCTGCAGGAAGCGGAGACAGTCGGTCTCGCTCCCCAGCAGCAGGACAATATATTAAAAGGGGAGACAGTTGGTCCCCCTCTCCAACAGCAGAGAGTGTTCCAGGGAGAGGAACCAGTTATCACCTTTCTCCAGCAACAGGACGAATTATTGAAAGGGGAGACAGTCGGTCTCACCCTTCAACAGCAGAGAGTGTGTCCGGGAGAGGAGCTTGTTATCCCCTCTCCCCAGCGGCTGAAAGTATGTATGGGAGAGGAGCTTGTTACACCCTCTCCCCAGCGGCAGCTTAGCCCACCAAGGGGAGACAGTAATCTCCACAACAGTGCAGATGGGACAGTAGTCGCTGCACATGCACCACCGGGGGTAGGAACAGTCGGTCCTGTCCCCCAGCAGCAGGACTGTTTAGGCAAAGGGGAGACAGTCTGTCTCCCCCTCCAGCAACCAGGCTCCAACCAGACTACTCCCGTGGTAGTGCTGGCACCAGGACAGAGTACCGCTGGTCTCTGCCCACTCAGCAACCCACCCAGTACGCTGACCAGTCACCCACACAGCCATGGTGAGGCACCTGGACACGGACAAAGTTCTCCTCTACCCAGGTGTAGTAGCCAGTTATTGTGGGTGGGCTGTATTACTGATTGTGTTTTGTGGGTGGGCTGCTGGACTAACAAGGGCACTGACCGGCAGGAGGTCAGATACCCTGTTAGTCTGATTGGTAAAGGGGAGAAGTGTGGCGAAACCAACCTCGCCACTGTGCACTGGAGAAGCCTGGTTGCCAGCCTCCTGCCATCTGACTATGGCCCCCTTTTAAAAGACTTTATTTTTGCCTGCAGAAAAGCTGTATTCGTGCTTTTCTGCCTGGGGTTCGGTAGATGTGTTTGAATGTGTTATACCCCAGATAGGAATCCCATGGAGCCCATTTGTATGAAACTGACTGTAAAGACTTTGGCTCCATGGCGATTAAACTGTATTCGTGTGGTCTGAGCGCCATTCACTTAATAATGTGCGCTCAGACCTGAGCTATCTGGGGATATGTGAAATGTCTGTGTGTTATGTGTAAAGGTGACTTTATGTATTTTAAAGTGTTTTGTGTCTTTTTGCAACCATGTGCTTAATGGAGTCTGTGTCTATCCTGGGAGATAATTGAATTACTTATCTCCAGGATAGAAGACTCTGAAACTGGTTTGGGCCAGAAAGCCATGCTTCATTTAGTCACAAAGGACTTTTTACTAACTTTTGAACCCCTTGTCTGATTTGTGCCATTTTTGAATATGTTGTTCCCCTGAATGGATTGATTGTGAATATGTAATTTTATGTGAATGTGATGTATGGTTTTGGAGTTATGAAAGTTGGGTAGAAAGTATGTTTTAACTGTATGTATAATTGAGTTTCCTCTCAGGATAAGGGGAGGGAATATGTGGGATGTAACTGTGATGTGATTGGTTGTTTTGTAACGCCCTGTGGGCTGTACTATGTTTTGTGGATTGTAATAAAAACCAGGCTGGGTGTGCCAGCACTGGAGATTCTGCTTAACCCTCAAAAACGAAGTGTCGTCTCGTTATTGGGGGAATTGGATTGTGTGCTGACTGCCAGGAGTGTAAGCCGTTTGTATTGCTTTTCCTGTTCGGCTGCTTCCAGGGTTCCTGTGTCTGCTGTTCGAGAGTTGGTGAATACGTGCAGTTTGGAGTTCAGGAGGTTGGTGATTGCAGTAGCTGCTGGTCTATGGGAAAGGGGATTATCGCCTAAACCGATTTTATCCCCTTGTGAGAGAAACGGTCCGTTACAAAAGGGAAGAACCAAATGCTTAAAAATGTCCAATAACTGAATAAAATAGTGATTTATTAATACAAAATAAATAAAATCATAGCACAACAAAGTGCTCAAACATATAATAGACAGGAACCCATAGGTATAGCAGCTCACTAGTGTATAATGCTAGACAAGGCAATAAAGTGCAAATGCTAAAGTGCACAAAATGGAAAAAGTGCAAATATTGGTGCTGGAAAAGCATCCAATTAATATCACATGAGCATAATCATAGCCCCAAACAGGTCCAGAGTGCAAAAATAGACAGTCAGCACATATAAACAGTATAGCCACTAATACCACAATGCAGGGTCCCAAGATACTGGTTGCTCAACGCGTTTAGTCGCTAGACTTCCTCAGGAAGTTAGTTTGTATATATTCACAGTTTGTAATAATTTGTCTCAACATGCTGCAGGATAAGCTGACTGAACATATGCCAGTAATAATGCTAATATCCCTGGCACTGCCAGTCTGGGCCCCACTCCATTTGTAATGCATGTCACGTATGTGCCATCTTCCCCTTCTAATGCAATATGGCCCTCACTCTCTCCTTTCTATGCCAGTCTATACTACACACAACGTGCAATGCAACTCTGTCGCCCACTCTTTGCAGTGTGTTTGTGTCCACTTCTTCCCTCTACAATTCCAATTTTTTTCCCACTCCCCTACTAAGCTACTCTGTGTCACAGTCTCCCAAAACTACTAGTCTTAGACCCCTCCTCCCAGGACTCTACTCCTCTGAAACTTCCAGTCTCTCAACCCATTCCCCTGCAGATTTACCCCCTCCCACAGCAATGCCAGTTTTACCACCACCCCAATACTTTATCTGACCCTTATCCCTAAGCATTACTTTTTTTTTCTCCCAGCCACATGTTTTGTAGGGCTATGGTGGTACACCTGCATAGGTGTAATGAGTACTGTGTTACAGTAAAGATAAACCCTGTGTGACTGGCGGGAGCAGGATCAGACAGATGGGCTGTATACTGTGACTCAGTGCTATGCTGAGTAATCACCCAGTCTTTGGGTAAGAGCATAGCAGAAACATTGCTTGTCTGACACTGCACTACAGTGCACATTGCCCTTGTGGGGTCTGTTTACCTCCATTTTAATTAGATTCAGCAAAGGGGGGGTAATAAACCCTGGCTCAGTAGTATGTTTTGCTGGCTTATTACAGGACTGTCTTGCAAGCCGTATTTCTTATATGGGGGAGGGAGTCTCATGCAGGTATAGCTATCTAGACTAATACAATGTAGTGGGGATACAATGGGGGTTCAAGTGTTATCAGGTTAGATGGGACATCCAACTCCCCAAAGCTAGTATATCACATATCTTTAAATCTATGCATTTCATATGCATGTGTAATTGTATGTGACTGTCCTTGCTTATGTAAAGTAGATGTGTTTGACTCCATCTACAAAAGGCCAACACATATAAAGTAAAGACAGGTCAACTATGTCTCCAAGTTTATGCTTTTTCTCTTCACAATGGAAATTTCTGTGTGTTAATCTTGGCTGGAAAATGCCAAGCAGTGTGTGAAGTTAAAGTGGATGTGTTTATTGATAAGGGATACTGGGTTGATGAGTGTTTAGCCGTGTACAAAGCTAGATGGTCCCATAGCAACTCTGTCTCTAATCACTACTCTCTTAGCTATTAAGGATGCAGCAACAAAAACACACACTATCAAGTTCAATGTTTCAATTGTATTTGGTGCACTTTTTCAAGAGAATTTTCTCTCTTCCACATTCTTCTCAGACCCCCAAAACTTCCTTCTCACCACTTTTTTTCTTTGCTTTTGCTAAGGGGAGTGATTTCACACATGGCACTTGCTGAGCTTTAAGATCCTCTCGATCTCGCAACCTCCCCTATTTCTGGCCATCTGCCCGTTACTCAGCCTGCTTTTCTCTTTACACATTGCCAGGTAGGGTTTACTCTATAGGATAACAGTGCTTCAGCTCAGAACAGATTTGCTTGTAAATGGAATAGAGCAGGGGGTGGGGGTGGTGAGAGCCCAGCTTGTAAGACGGGGAATGCCAAATGTTTGCAGAATAGAAGAAGCTGAAGCTCATCAAGTTTTAAGGATAGTATAGATAGAATGGAATTTAGAGAGACTTCTTCCTACCTTTAGTATATTCGTATTTGACCGAATCCAATGGGTAAGGGCCCACACCCGCCACCTCCCATTATATTATCATAGCCCCCACCAGCTGACCATGGGTGGGGGTAGGGGAGCACATTACGATGTTCTCCCTTTGCTTTTTTTAATTAGAGGCTCCATATTGTTGGTGTGTCTGAGTATATAACAGAGCTCCACATCAATAATTCTCCTAGTAATGTGTCTTTAAACTACAATAAATGTTTAGAAACCAGTATGTGCAAATAAGATACATTGTTATTCCTATAAATTATATTTTCGTTGCGAAAATTCTTAGTAAGTCACCAAAAATTTCTTAGAAAAATCACACCCAGAAATTTAAAGTGTTGATGGGTATTGCAATGCAATCATGAATATAGATTTACATTCTTATCCTGGCCTAGAATCACTACCACTATCATGCTCCAATTTAGATTTCTGCCCTTATTTTCAAATCTGTTCTAATCAATCACTCTTTGTTTTAAGACATTACTGCTTTCCCCTTTCAAATCATACCCTCCCTTCTCACGTACAAGACTTCACCTGTTCCGGCAACTACCCGTGGCGCCCATTATGGCATGATCTATAACTATTTTAATCCCTCAATGTATCTCATCATCATCATCATCCCTCAAAATGTATCATCTCTCTTCAATGCTATTCATTCTGTTAATACAAGCAGTCATGCCCAATGATATTCATAATGCATCAATTTGTTTCTGTCCGTTGTAGTGTTTTACATTTTACTATAGTTCTCCAGAACTGCAGATTTTTTTGGCACTAGATCAATAATTGATAAGTACTCAAAAAGCCTGTATGCAATATTTTTTTTAGAACCCTGGCTCCTAGTGGTTTTAAGCCCAAGCTTAAATTATTGTTACACGATTACCCAAGGTTGCTTAAGGTAATATATGGCACTTTGCATCATGAATAAAACATTACACTTTTGTTGTTTTAAAGCTGCACTGCGGTCTGGAGTTTATACGTTGAAATTATATGTTTTTCTTCTCTAGCTGGTTAGAGGTTCTCCACTACATTCAATGTCCTAGACTGGTGGCTCTTTACCATTTTTTTTTTTTGTGAGAGACCCGAGTAAGATGCATGTCATAAGCTTAGCAATCCATTATTCTTTGAACAGTTGGCTCAGAGGTCCATTTTTAATGTGTAATATATTTAAAGTAACACTCTATTAGCACCATAACCACTTTAGCTTAATGAGTTGGTTTTGGTGTTTAGTGCATGCCCCTGCAATCCTCTTCCATTTTAGCAATTAAATAGCTTTGTTTATGCAGCCCTAGCCACACCTTACCTGGCTGAGACTCACACAGCCTCCCTACATACTTCCTGTAAAAAAGTGTAAATTTTTTAGTTTTCCTTGTAGGGATCGTGTGTGTGAGTTAAAGTTCAATTAACAGGGGCGGAGCCAGCGGACTCTCGAGTCAGACGCACATAGTGATAGCTCCGTACAGGCTTGCAGATGTCTGCAGTTGCCGACCCTTATCTCACAGGTCTCTCCTGCAGGGCTTCCTTCCCTGACGCTGGTTGGGAAGAAAGCCAAAAAACACTGTACTGATCTGACCTCGAGATATCTGGACGTTGCTGCACCAGCCTGTTAGGCCGAAGCAGACTAAAATGGCACCTGAGTAGGCCTCTGATTCAGCATCCTCGGATGAGGACAGCTTGCTGGTGTGGCTATTGACCTTTCCAAAGGTACCTTCGGTCACCCACGGGACCCCTGCATCTGGGGATACTGCCCATTCCACTAAGGTAGACATTAAGACTATGCTTCATGAGCTGAAAGCTATGTTTAAAGCTGATATGGTGGGGGTGAGGGAAGAGTTGGCCATGCTTACCAGCTGGATTGTCACAACGGAGGAAGACCTAGGTGTCTTGAAGGTGACACAAACTGTGACACACAGTCCTTCACATATTGCAAAAGAGCAACGCTTACATACTCCACCGCATGGCTGCCTTTGAAGACAGGACTAAGGCAAGGAACATGAGACTCAGGGGAGTCTCAGAAACTGTTACCACAGATGAACTGCCTCACTTTATTAGTAGGCTCCTTGCTTTAATGTTATCGCCGAAAAAAGATTGGGCTGTCATCCAGAGACAAGCCCCCTGGCGTGGATGGTGCAGATGCGACTGAGGTCTCTGCACCAGCCCTACAGGGATGCTGGGCAACCTGCCCAGATCCCCAACTGCGGAATTCCAATCGTGTTCCGGGTGCAGTGGAGGGAACTATGGCCTCCCCTGACACCTTCCCAGCGGAATAGCTGGCACCCATGCAGAGAGCAGTTGGCCTCTGCCCGCCCCTTTTCCTTTATCCAGAGCCTGATGTTGCACAGGCCACCCCACCTGTAACGTTGGCTACAGGGCAGAGCGCAGTTGCAGAACCGCACTGTCTCCAGTCCTTCCCCAGCAGAAAAGCTGATATGGGGCAGAGCGCCGCTGGCCTATGCCCTACCTATCCTTTTGTTCTGGGGTCTGACGGCCCACCAACCAAGCCAGCTGACCCGCTGGCTACTGGGCAGAGTGCTGCTGTCCTCTACCCACTTGGCACGGATGAAGGGAACTTGGCACGGATCAGCGACTCCTTGGTCCAACCAGGGGGAAGTGCATCCAGGTTGTTTCCCCACAGGACACTAGATATACAAATGGGCACTTGTGGCAGGCCTTCTGGACAACTATGCCTTTTGGGAAAAGCCACCAGACTATCACAGACCCAGACCGATTGGAGGTCTGGGATCTGGGTAGTCTCCCCAGGAGAGGGAAGATATGACAAACTCCCCTGTCCTCGTGAGTTTGCCACGAGCTCCTGGAGGAGCCTGCTTGCCAGCCTCCTGCCCACAGACTATGGGCCCTGTAATATACAATGAAAAGTCTCAGTTCGTGTATTTAGACTATATGGTTGGGGAAGTGAACAGCCGCATGAACCAGAGACCACCCTGCAGCTTGTTAAGCCTAATTGCTACTTTGTAGCAATTTCCACCGCAGTGTTCTAAGTAAGTAAGTGGGGGGTGGAATGTATCAGTGCTTGTGATATGGCTGCTAGAACTTTCTTGGAACCAGAGTCTCTTCTTTTCTGGCAGAACAGTAGGTATAGAAGCTAGTGTCAGGCAGCAGCGTCTGTAGTAGTCTTCTCAAACCACGTAAAATATAACAGAGAGGAGAAGACACAGATATAGCGTAGTATATTAAATTGCTTGATAGTGATAAATGAAGAAAAAATTGCACTTACAATTTTCTGGAGCTTATATTCCGCTCCAGATATATGTGCCTGGATGGTATAATCCCCGTCTAAGGATATGATGATGGTCCTGGTGTACTCTCAGAGGCTTCTTCAGGGTCAGGGTTTTCTGGTGTCAGTGCCAAAAACCGGTATCCTCAGTGGATAGGAGGAGAAATAAAAACACAATATAGTGCTCCATGTATAGGATAAAAAAGTGGAGGTAAACTCACAAGCAGGGACAGGGCCGCCATCAGAAATTGTGGGGCCCCTAACATAGCTCAAGGTCTGGGCCCCCGGGTGCCCGCCTCCAAGCCCTGCCTCCAATCCCGCCCACAGGAATACACACACAGAGACACAAAAGGACACAGACACACAGGAAGATACACACATACTAACAGACATATACTTAAACAGACATACACACATATAGACACATACACAGATACACACACACACATACTGACATACAGACACACACACTGACCTACATACATACTCACATACTGACACATACATACAGACAGACATACATACATACATACATATTGACAAACTGACATACATACACATAAATACATACTGAGATACATACATAATGTCATACATACGCATACATACTGATATACATACATACACATACAGACATACTGACATACACACACACACACAGACCTACATGCATACTGACATACATACTGATAGATATATACATACACACATACATACTGACATATACACACATAGATATACATACAGACATATATACATACTGACATACACACATACAAATAGACACATAAACACATACACACACAGACATACATACTGACATACACACACATACACAGACATACATACTGACAAACAGACATATATACATACTGAAATACACACACACATACAGATAGACACATACATACAAACATACACACAGGCATATATACATACTGACATACACACACAAATACAGATAAACACATACATGCATACTGACATACATACACACATACATGCATACACACATACTTACTGACACACATACATACACACAGACATACACACAGTACATGCATACTGATATGCAGACATACAGATAGACGCATACACAGACATACATGCATACTGACATACACACAGACATACACACAGACATACACACAGACATACACACAGACATACACACAGACATACACACAGACATACACACAGACATACACACAGACATACACACAGACATACATGCATACTGACATACACACACACATACATGCATACTGACATACATACATACTGACACACACAGACATATATGCATACTGACGTATATACAGACATATATACATACTGACACACACACACACACACACACACACAGACATATATACATACTGACATACATACTGACACACAGACAGACATATATACATACATACTGACATACACACAGACATAGATACAGACATACATACTGACAAACAGACATACATACTGACATATACACACATACAGATAGACACATTTATCTGCCACCCTCCTTTTACCTTTAAGTTGCAGGAGGGTGGCTGGGGATGATGGGAGTGGATGCCTCTGGTGTCCTCCACTCTCCCTCTTCTCCGCTCTCCGCCCCCGCGTGGAGTAAGCTGGGAGGAAGTGACCGGCTGTCACTTCCTCCCAGCAGCACTTGCGGTGTAGCCGCAATTTTTTTTTTTTTTAAAGCGGCCCGGTCGCGCTATTACCCGGCCTCTGAAGATATAGGGACCATCAGGTGGCCCTAAATGCTCGGGCCACCTGATGGGCCCCGGTGCAGATGCACCTGCGGCAGTTTCGCAGTTCCATGTGGGGCCCGGACGGCCGGGCCCTTTCAGCCAGGCCCGTGACAACCATCATGGTTGTCACCCCCTGATGGTGGCCCCGAGCAGGGAGCAAAAGGAATATTGCTCAGTATAGGAAGCGTATGTGGAATAATCCCCACCAAGGATATCACTGGCGAGCCCTCAGATTCTTAATGATGAAATTGTTAAAAAAAAAAAGGAAAGGCTGGGAGGCTCCGAAATAGCTCAAGTTCGCTATCTTTATTGGAGATTAATAAAATAAAACAATAAAACAAAAAGACTGTATAAAATACGAACACATTTCACTTGCTAGCAAGGCTTTTTCACACACTTTGAAAAAGCCTTGCTAACAGGTGAAACGCGTTGTGTCGTCTGGTTACTGGGAGGGGAAAGGGCTAATCACTGATCACTGTTCCAGTGTGGAGGATTCAACGGGGAAAGTCCTTGTAAGGACTAGAGCTCACAGGACTGAGTGTCGTCCAGTGCCTGGGGGTGGATAGAGCAAGTTCCCCATTCGGCTCCAGGAGGGAGTGGTTCCAGGACCCCAGTCAAGTGACTGTGCAGAAGTGCTGTGGCTTGTTCCCTGTTCCAGCTAGGAAGCGGTCCATTGGCACAGGTACCCAGCCGGGGTACAGGGAGCTCCGTTACAGGATTGTCATGGGTGCGACCAGGAACACCCAGTCTACGACCAGATATGTCCCACCACACCATCCTTTGGAGGAAGTCCCTCCGGCTGCTCACATGGCATCTACGCAACCACTAGGTTCCCTATAAATGGGGCATGCACTGGCTCCTAGTAGAAAGGGATGGCAGAACCCACTTCCTCATGCATCTATCCTAGGTGTCCTTCATGATTCGGGAACTGGGATTAGCAGCCATTTTGATTCTGTTACTACTGTTTTGATTATTTTCAGTTTTACAAGTTAATTAGTACTTTACCCTGGCTCTGTAAATGTTCTTTCAGTCTTAGATGACTTGTTTCCTTCCACCTTAGCCCAATACATCACTAACAATCTCGCAAGCTCAGACAGTGTATTAGACTGGTATTTAGCTCCTACTAGGCTGAGTAAGTAACAGTCAGGAGAAATGTAGCTAGGGATAAATAAATAGAAACAAAAGTGATTTAAATCCTAAATTGAACAGTGCGACTGCAGAGGCATTATCTACACACTAAATCTGCTTCATTAAGTTACACTTGTGAAGCATAGAGACCCTACCTTAATCAGATTCTTCCAGTGCCCTATGGGTCTCCATTGCACTTTGATGGCAGTGATACTACAGTTTATTGCAAACACTTCCCAACAGTCGCAAGATGAGTGTGTTCACAGGTCTCTGTAAATAACAATCTTTCATAAAATGTCAGTCTCCTGGTATGTCACTCTCCTTAAAGGACCACTATAGGCACCCAGACCACTTCAGCTCAATGAAGTGGTCTGGGTGCCAGGTCCCCCTAGTTTTAACCCTGCAGCTGAAAACATAGCAGTTTCAGAGAAACTGCTATGTTTACATTGCAGGGTTAATACAGCCTCTAGTGGCTGTCTCCCTGATAGCCACTAGGGGCCGCTTCCGCGATTTACACTTACGGAGTCCAGTGTCAAAAAAGATCCCCATAGGAAAGCATTGAGTAATGCTTTCCTATGGGCGGGTTTGAATGCGCGCGCCTGTGGCCGCGCATGCGCATTCGGCTCCACTCGGAAGACTGCCGAGGACACACACAAACTGCTTAAAACACACACAGAGATGTTAATTAGTTCGGACAACTGTATGAGTTGTTTTTTCTAAACTTAAACCTCAGTATTCAGGTTTAATTGCCGTTTTTGCACTTTGAGGAAAAAAAATTTGGCATGTATTGCGGTTTGGGCACTCGGGCTCAAAAAGGTTCGCCATCACTGCCCTATAACACTGGGTATTTTTAAACTCAGGACAAAATTTTTAATCTATTTAGCAGTTTTTTTCATTCGCTTTTGTAGATGTGTAAAAGATTTTTCACGTAAAAGTAAAAAAACATGTATTTTTTTTGCCATTTTTCATCTTTTTTTTTTTTTTATTAAATTACATGAGATGATATAAATAATGGTGTGTAAAGAAAGCCCATTTTGTCCTGAAAAAAGCAATATATAATTTGTATGGGAACAGTAAATGAGAGAGCGGAAAATTACAGCTAAACACAAACACCACAAAAGTGTAAAAAGATGCCTGGTCGCAAATGTACAACGTCGCAAAAACAGTCCGGTCCTTAAGGGGTTAATTAACCATTTATTCACTGCGGAAAGGTGCCCTAGTCACCTAAATGGTGACTAGGGTTCTATAGCGTTAGGAATACATATTTGTATTCCTAGCGCTATAGTGTTCCTTGAACAAATCTTCTATTAGACCGTGCTGGCATCATTTGGAAATATATTGTGTTCATAACAGATTAAGGGAGAATATTTCCAGTGAGTCTGAGGAATTACTTATCATACAAACCCAAAAGAAGTATGATTGTGCTAAACAGGAGATAAGTTCAATTGAACCTCGCTTGTTTAATAAGGTATGTTTTGCATTGAGTAGCTCATGTGTTGTTTGTTTATACTCTGTTTGTTTTTTTTGTTTTGTGTTAGTTAGCAGAGCCCAGTCCGTTCCTAGATATGGAATCTCAAGCCCTCTTAAAGGACATTTAAGTACGAAAAGCAATGGTAAGTAAATGCAGAACCCATTCTTTATTATTTTTAATGAACCGTACAATAAGGGACACAACATGACTTGACTGTTATAGACTAGTACATTATGTACACAATTCACATGTATAACCAATTCGTCTTTGTTCTAGGGCAGGGATAGGCAACCTTCGGCACTCCAGATGTTTTGGACTACATCTCCCATAATGCTTTTAGACCCATAATGCTGGCAAAGAATTATGGGAGGTGTAGTCAAAAACATCTGGAGTTCTGAAGGCTGCCTATGCATTATAGTGATTTGGAAGCAGTGTTTTTAAGCAGAAACAGACATTTTATAAAGCAATCTATCCATTACAGCAGTGTTCTTCAAACTCCTGGCCTCCAGATGTTTCTGAACTACAATTCCCATGATTCTTTGAATGACATGAATAGCCAGATAGTCATGGGAATTGTAGTTCAGCAACATCTGGAGGGACAGAGTTTGGAGAATCCTGGATTTGAGCATACAGAAATATAGCGGAGTAGCACTGGCACATTTCATTATACTGTATGTGAAACATTACTTTAGTAAAGTCTAATTACTCTGGTTTCCACATTCTTGTTTTAAAGTTAAAGAGGGCCACCATGTTGGCTAAACACTGGAAAACCTTTAAAGTAAAGACACTATCTTTTCTGTCTAAGTAGCAATTGACTTATTGCAAAGTGTTACCCTCTGTTTTAGTAGATCAAACAATCCCTGATGCCATTAAACAAAATAGCCGTGTTTCTTGAATGCTGTTTAGCTACAGTGCGCTCATGGCTTCTTCCAGCATGATAGAAACGGGATTTAGTCTTAAGTTATAATATAGCAAGCTTTCCAGCTTTTGTGTTTTTTTTTGTTTGTTTTGTTTTAATTTCAACTGGTTAGTACTTCTACACTTTATGACATAAAATGTATCACAGTATGTCATTTCCTGTTTTTAGCATTTTGCATTGGACCAAATAGCAGACTGAGTGATCAGTATCAAATCCGGGATCAAATGCTTGTTCACTACAATAAAATCCTCAAGGCAAAAGGTAAAATGGTGTGTGCTTATTGGTTTAATACACAATAACATGTAGGAGTTTAGAAACTGATTGCGTTTTAGACCTTGACCGAGGATTTGATTTTTCTCTTCTCAGGAGAGAATTTAAAATGCTGTATGTGATGCCTTTTGCAGGTAGATAGATTTGTATATAGCAAGCACAGGTTTAGTTGATATTCCCTGCAGTTCTCGGGCTCAGGATCTTACATGTATTTCACCAGTATATTGCTTTCATTATTGATCTGGAACAAGTTGTATTCATTTATGTTAAAGACTAGTCCCATCTGGATAGACTTAAAATCAAGGTACAAAAATATTTTTAAAAAAACAAACATTCTCCACTATATATGAAAAGAAATCAAAATGCAACATAAAAAATAATTCATATTTCTCATGTATTAAGTAAAATTGATCTCATATTGACTTTACGCAATAGCCAAAGATGTAACAAGGTTTAATCTATGCTGTACTAGTAAAGTGAACCATCTGCATATCATATCTACTTGAGCATGCCTGTCTCCTCACTCACAGACCAGACATTGTGCACATGGGCATTAATTCAGAGGCTTCTCAATAAGAAGCCTCTGATTTGTTATTTCTCTGTGAAGAGACTTAAAGTCTCTTCTGGGGGAAAAAAGGGGAGGACTAGTTAAAAACACAGTTCATAAGATCTGCAGCATTTGCAAGTTCTTTTAAGATATCAAGGTATATCTACTAAACAGTGATTTATTTTTTTATTTGCCCGTTTGGGCAGTGGAGTGTTCCTTTAATACATGGCAAACACACTTAAAGGGCTCTGAAACCACAAAAGGGCCCAGTGCAGCCCAGAGCTCTCTTTAAATAGGGAGGTTCTGTACAAGATTGGCTCTGCTTCTTGCAAGCATTCAGCACAAAAAGGTAGTACCTGTGTTAACCACAGGTGCCCCACAAATAGACAATCAAGGCAATTCAGGCAGGTAAGTAGCAACCAGGCAACTCTAATTTTTCCACAGTAAGCAGAATGTGGGAGACGGGTTCAAGTCCCCTCAGAAAAACAGAGAGTAGAGTCAGCGCTAATATATCAGAAAGAGATACAAAAGGCAGCAATCCCAAACAAGGACTCCCTCAAGTGTCCTTGAGATAAATACGGAAAGCAAACAAACAGAAGGATGGGACTGCGCCAGTAAACAAATTAAGTAAAATAAAAAAGTCCTGATTGAGGTAGAAATATTAAGAGTCCAGTATAATGAAACTTTGGACTTATGTTGGTCTCTGAAGTTGTAGAATTTTGCTCCTTACTGGTATATGGAGGAGGGCGATGGATGATGGAAATGATGGTGGTAAAGAGTGATCCAAAAGGTATCCAAATAAAAGAGATAATAATCACGTTTTGTAGAGCTTAACCCAGCTCTGGTATGAATAGCTTGCAGCGGTATTATCTCCGCTTGTAGGATATGCGGTGAGTCTCCTCATCGGTGTAGTGACAGACAACCAGGGGGAAGATAAAACGAAAAACAGTGATGGTGCAGTATGTTCCAAAAGTGGATAAAAAGTATTAAAATATAGTAGATACACTCACATTTAATAGAGCTTATACTAGCTCTAGTGTAGTAGGGATATATGGTGAGCGTTCTTTGAAATAATTCTTTAAGATGGTAACAGGAGCTCAGGGAGAAGGTAATAAAACAGCAATAGTAAAAGTCCCTCTCAAGTCCCCCCAGAGCCAGTCGGAGAGTGATGACTCCCCGAACTTTCTAACTTCTAACTAAAGCAGACTGTCATCTACGTGTATATATGGCAAAGTCCACTTAATGTGAGTTTTAGATGGTAATCTGTACGTAGTAATTTGTCCTCTTTCTTTTCCTCTCAATATTTCAGCTGCCATAGATTGCTCACCCCCAAAGAGTATATCGAGAAGCATTAAATGTAAGTATAATTATTTTTTTTTACCAGTTTACTATTTTTTACACTGCACTCTTCCTGCCTGGGAATAATGAGGTTTATACTCCTGGGCAATCACTGCGGTTTGCGTTTGCCACCATTAATTTAGTCTGCTTTCATTTACTGAAATGCTACATCATTATTTGGAGAATGACTGTATCAACTGCCAGTCTTGGGCAAACAAACGTAGACAAATATATGAATATGTAGGTTTTAAATGTTTTGTCAGAGCTGCTCCTTTGACCACATTGTTCTGTCCATGTTAGAAATCTACAACAAATTGATAAAAGTGATGAAACTTGCTGTATACTCATACATATGAAACAAATTTGGTTACCTTTTTTTTGTTATGAATAATATTTTGCTTGATAAGTCACTGTTTATTGTGAGAAAACCAGCGGTAAAACGACTTTCAGTCATGTGTTAATAATTTTTAAATCCGAAGGCCATTGAAAATCAGTCATTTAAAAATGCAATATTGTGTGGGAAAACCGTAATTTATCAATAAGCAAAATGTCCATAATGGATCTCTCTCCAGGTGTACTTGACTCTTTTGTATAAAATATTTGCCAAAGGGTAAAAATTATCATCGAGGGAAGACGGAGGAAAATAAGGAGGGGGAGAAATGCTTGCCACCCAATTTCAGCCTGCTCTATAGGCTAGGCATATCCACAAGTGATTTGGGAAGACTTGGAGTATCACAAGAATCAGTCCATAGGGACCTTAAAGGACCACTATAGGCACCCAGACCACTTCAGCTTAATGAAGTGGTCTGGGTGCCTGGTCCATCTAGGATTAACCCTTCCTGCTGTAAACACAGCAGTTTCAGAGAAACTGCTATGTTTACCTATGGGTTAATCCAGCCTCTAGTGGCTTCTCACTGTGAAGAGGGAGGAGAGTCCCAGTGCCGAGGGAGCCCAGTGCTGTAAAAAAGGTAATGGATTAACCCCTTCCCCCTTCAGAACCACGGGAGTGGGACCCTGAGGGTGGGGGCACCCTCAGGGCACTATAGTTCCAGAAAAACGAGTTTGTTTTCCTGGCACTATAGTGGTCCTTTAAGTTGACAAGCACATATTGTAAAGCACACTGTATATATGTTTGGGCTATCCGTAACACTTAAGATATATTTTAATATACTTCTTGCCAAAATGCGTGTGCACTGTATATATCGCAAGTTTAACAAGGCACTTTCCAGAGGAGGTGGAGGTGGAGGGGGGGGGAGGCTGGAGACCCCCCTCCCAGCTTTAACTGTATATTGAGCCCTCCATCGACGGCCCCACAATGTCCGTTAAGTTCTTATTTCTTGAAACATTAACACCCATAACTTCTGACAAAACCAACCTTTTGACAGGGGCGGCATTTTGACTAGTCTGCAGCAAACGTTTGCTTGTCTGTGGACTCCAAAGGCAGCTCTTTAATTAGTCTAAAGACTTGCACTGACTGGGGCTTCGTGGCCACGTAACTCGCCTTAGGGCAGACTAATCCATCGTGTCCTCGGTCCGTGACAAGCCACTGGGCCAAACACCAGGAGTGGGACCGGGCACTTGCCCTGTATGCCGCCGGGTGCAGCGCCTATCCTCTACTCGGTCTGCATTGATGGAGAGAACCCAGCACCTCCAGTCAGCAACTCTGCCAGGTGCAGAGCTGCAAACCATGTGGTGAGGTCTCATGAGCTCAGCCAGACATAGTTGCGAGGGATTACCGTGGCAGCGCTCTAATACTTCAAATGCTGGAACTCACAACACTTCTACCACAGTCTGTCTGTGCCCTGCGGTATTGCAGACCAGATAGCAAGGCCACTGGACTATGAGGCAGGGAGACCACCCGGACCACCATAGAGGGAGAACCCCCCACACACACACACATTGTCACAAACCCCAGTTTAGATAAATGTATCATGTCTATTTGTTAATCATTACTGTATACATTTACTGTAACACATCGACCCCGGTCGAACAAATAAACAAATAGAAACACATGTCCAGTTAACAATTTGTATACAAACCATAAAATCTGTTTAAATAGTTATAGTTCATTTGTTTCAGATAGCCCAGTTGTCTTTTCGTCATAGCTATTATTGCAAAATAGATCTGGTTTTCTATGGCATATATGACATGTTTGTGCTGTGGAGCAGTACAGGAAAAATGTTAGTATCGTATAATCAAGCTCACTTCTTCAGCAATTGAAATTATTCTACACAAAACAGGTCTCCATCTGCCAATCAGATGCGTATCATGAAGGAGCGTTGAATCTAATGCTTCTCTGTGAGAAGCATTAACAGCATTGGGCATTGTCCTGCTCTGGCACAGAACTTAACAACCTTCCCACTAGAAGTGTGTACTCTGACTATACAGATTCATCAGAGTCATACAGCAAAGAATGGCTTCCATATACAAAGCTATACTTAGGTTTCTCAGATCAGTCCAATCTACTTAAAAACTAAAACTGCATATAATGAAGAAAGGGGCTGCACTCATGGTTCTCACACCGTGTCTAAAAAGAGTAGATGTCCCTGACCACTTGGTTGGCAAATACCCAAATCGCTTGTATATTTGACATAGACGGTTCAGGAACTCAAAGGTTCTTATAAAGTGCAGACTTTAATAGGAATATCAAGCAGAGAGTAGCAACGTTTCCGCCAACAATAGCATTTGTCATGACTTGACAAAGGTCATTGTTGGCCAAAACTTCACTTTCTGCCTGCTGTTCTTATTAAATTGTACAATTTATAAGAACCTTTGAGTGCCTGGACTTTCTGTTTTTAAATATACTTAATAGCAGAAAGACTTGACTGCAACTTTTCTCAGTAATTCTGTAGAACCACATTTGAATTTTTAACCAAAAGGCACTACTTTTTAAAAAGGAACTTTTGGGAGGCAGAGCCTGACTCTCAAGCAGAGTGGACATGTGCTTAGCAAGCTGCTAAGCTGGCACAACTTTTAATCAAATTAATACAGTCAGTCTGCAGATCTAACCACAAAACCGCCCTTATCATTAAGGGGGCACCTTGGTGAATCGAAGAAACCAGAATCGGTGCCTTCCTCATCCAGATTGCCAAATTCAGATCTTTGCGGCCTTTAAGCGAAGCAGGCGCGTGGGAAAAATGAACGCTCTCCAGATTCCGTATCTGGCTGATCGAATCTAAATTCTCTACCTCTCCTTTCCTTTGAACTGGCCCCAGGAGCCCATCCAATGCTACAAATTACCCTTCCGTCATGTCCACACGGCTTCCAAAATTGAGGTGATCACAGCCAGAGACTTAGCCATGGTATTCATTGCAGCGTCACTGGTAAAACTGGATCTTTGCAGGATTCCTGACATGTAAGGCAGCTGAGAATACAGCTACTCATACCAAGTCACAGCGAGGCAAAGAAGCAACGTACCTGTATGTTCTTGAGCATCTTGTATCTGAAGCCTGTGATTTGCCCTACCTGTCAGTTGGAATCTCTTTCCCAATGGCGGATGCTGGCAGAGTCTGGATCTGGCCTTGCTTCAGGAATTGAAGTGCTTGGGGCAAAGACTGTGGCAGTTTGGAGTCCGACTTTGGCCCAGAGTCCCAGGAGTTCTTTGTACAAAGCCCGTCAAGATGGCAGCTGCTGCCTTTGAGAGATCCTGTGGAAACCCTATGCAGGGTTGAAGCTGGCATTCTCAAACTACAGGCGTCCATTTATATGGGACTATTTACAGAGTCATCCAACCGATTGGTAATCGGAAGAGAGCACAAGGTGTCCTGGCTGATATCAGGTGCAATGTGGCATCTCCTTTAGCCTTTATTTGGCTAATTTTCTCTTGGACTCCTGTATTTTTTTTTTTTTCTAGCACTTACCAGTTAATCCAGCTTGTATTTTATTTTTCCTGTTAATTGACACACACTCCTCTAAGATGCTTTAGTTGCCTTATTTTATTTAAAAAAAAAAAAGAGTGGTTTCTTAGTTAATTATATATTAGTTAAAACATGAGCAGCATTCTGTTTAAATTTATCTCTACAGGTAACTTATCTCACTGTGAGAGCTTACTCTTATTCTGCGTATATTGAGGTTATAATATCTTATTGCTCTCTTTAGAAATCTTATTCTTATGAGTTCATTTGATGTCCTACTGTGTCCTATTATTCTATTGGCAGATATCTGTGGTGCAATTTATGCATGTATACTGCCATTTCTGTTTGTGAAACTGTATGACAAAAATAAAAAAATGGAACTTCTCTGGAAATTAAACCACCCTATCATTACTCTGAGAAATAACAGTAGGTGTCTTAAAAAGCATCTCTAACTTCTCTAGTTACAGCCATTACATTTGAATTATTCTAGTGGTTCACAGCCCTTAACTTGTTGTACTTGGTCTTAGGGACTCTTTCATTCTTTCATGAAATGTGTCGGTAAGGGGGGGTTCATCCAAAGTAGAATATGGAGTTCAGTGACCCTGTAGGGCCCAGGAGGAGCTGACGGTCCGTCTGGTCAAGATGGCAGCAAAGGGGTAGTACCAACTTATGCAAATTCATATGAGTACAATCGGAATGCAGAAAAACCTAGGTGATTGTTGATACAGTCATGGAGGCAGGTCTCCTTTATTGATTTTGAGTGACAAGTATCTGACTCCAGGGTCTGTGAGAGAGAATGCATTATACAGCTGATTTCTTGACCTGTCAAGCAAGAGGATCGGCCTTTACCTGAACTTTCAGGCAATGATGGAAAGTCCATGTAAAAGCAAAAAGCCTAGCTGCACGATTATAAGGATGCTTTATCGAAAACATTGATACCCACACTATATGGACTTTTACTGTGGGTGCCTTTACCAATATTGCATTTTTAAATTTCTATGGATCACCGTGGTTAGAGGCTGGAGGAAGTGCACTCCTACACAATATTAAGGCCAACTCTGACACAAATTGTGTATAATGAGAAATAGGACTTACAGTGTCCCTGAAGCAGCAGAAACAACGCTGGAGGCGTGTCCCGCTGGTTTCCAGCTTATAGGCTTGGTGTCTGTAGTCGGCAGCATAGCATGATATACAAAACTGGCTTCACAAAATTCCACATTCCAATATTTTGTTTAATTCCTTAAAACACATTCTTAAAGTTACAGTTGACATAAAAGCAAAACTTAATTGGCCTCCACGCACGCGTTTCGTATACGCGTCTCACACTTATCCTTGGTCACAAAATGAGTGAAGTGGAGGGTTCTTTATTTTAGCTTTTACGACGACTGAAACGTTTCATAAGTGTTTTAAGGAATGAAATTAAGTATTGGAACGTTGAATTGCTGAACTGAATTTTATTACAAGCTTCCGTGGAGCCAGTAGATTTTGCAACTTTACCACAACCACTTTACGCACCACTACATGCGTCATTTTATTGAAAACAGGGTTCAGCAAATGGACAGGGGTTTTCTTTGAAAACAAATGCTCTTTAGACAGTACATCATGAGCCATCCTAACCACAAAATGCTTTATAAATCTCTCTGCTTTCAATTAGTCAAATAGTTATATAGAACATTCATAGGATTTGGCTTAATTACTTTGGTGTATCTTAATATTAATTTGATTATAATTTGTTTAGCTATGTTGTACCCTTAAATCTTCTATGTAGAACGCATGGTTGAGTCGTCCCCTGGGGCTCTGAGGATGTATATAAAATCACAGCAGCCTGAGTGCATGATCATGATAAAACACAATGTGTTCCCTTTTGACCATATGCTCACTGTGAGCTTTCACTGTTGATACCAAATGAATAATAGTTTTACCCAGTTGTAGGCGGGGAGCTGAAGATTTGCCAATAATACACAGTAGGCATCAATATTGATATTGCTGGGACATTAAATGAATGTCCATTATGTTTAATTTCCCATCATATATAAAATGTCTCTGACAGACATGCACTTAGATTATATTTTGGGTAGCAAAAGAGCTTTTTGATGAATAATTATGCTGATTTTTGAAATGTCACGTATTTAAAAAAAAAAGAAAAGGAGGATGCGATCAATAAAACAGATCTACAGGGTGAATGCAGGGTTTAACATGTCTTGTATGGCTGAAAATTAGTCCTCCGAAGGGAGATGATCTTTGTAACCTTTTGTTCTTCTGAGCAAAGCAGGTGCATTAGTTACATCAATCAGTAAAGGATGCTAATGTATTGTGTAATATGGAAATCAATTCTAGACTCACAGAAATGTTAACAAATATCATGTCCAAGTCCAGATCCTATGCATGCATTCCGCATCGCTGTGCATTATTCTGCCTTTTCCATAACAGAAGAATTCAAAACGAGGTTGGCATATTAGTGAATCGCCCAACAATCATTTGTTATTCCCGCTATGCCGTTCCTGTATTCATCCCCATCTCTGTATCTCTTCTACATTCTCTCTCGTTAGCCCCAGTGTTGTCATCTCTTGAATCAAAACCCTTAATGTACAAGCTGGGAACATTTAGATATTTTTACTATTTTGTTGCAAGATGCTTAGGTTATTTGGAAAATTACCCAGGTATTTATTGTCACTGAGAGCATTTCTCTTGGCAAGCTCCAAATCTCATGACGCTTATTCTTGTTCATTTGATCTCCGCAAGGGACCGTGCCACTTTAAGTCATGTAGCGAACAAGGCTTTAGTCCTCTCCTCTCTTAATGCCCTGGGAAATCTGGTGTTTGGATAATGTGTTCTACAATGCTTTCCATTACCTAATGTTACACGTTAACAACACATCAGTCCCTACTGCAACATTGAAAAATGACAGATTGGGCCAATTTAAATCACTTCCGTAATAGTGCTATATGCATTGCTAAAATGTTCTTCCTAACTCTGCACTGTTGAGTTGTTTTCGGTCTCACAGATGATGATAAATGTCTAAATTTGCTGCGAGGAGTGCGGCCAGCTGGCTTCAAGTGTGTCTGAGACCGCAGTGTCGGTTCTCAGCCCAATTGTGGGTCGGGAAAGTCTAGTGTTGTCACTAAGTTCAGGTTTTTAGAGCGAAAAGTGCCATCAATGTCCCTGTTTTCTGAGGAGCTCTGCTAAAGCACAAATGTCCTCCTGTGGTTTTATCCCTCATATTTAACAAATATGTGTTTGTAAGGTTTGAAAAACTAAATCAAATCTACACGACTCTATCAGGAACTGAGCGCATCCATCTGGACTACATGTCAGTCGTTAATCTAATACCCTGGCAGTCCAGGGTATTAGAGAGAGTGTAGAAAGTGGAGAGCGTTGTTTCTGTTAGTGCCTGGAATGAACTAGATTGAGATGTCAATAGTTAAATCATTAATACACATTTAAAACAAAACATAGTAGAGTAACAGAGCTTAAAGTAACACACCAAGCACCATAGCCACTGCAGCCCACTGTAGTGATGATTGTGCCAGAATTGCCCTGATGCCCTCCCAGGGTAAGTAGTCAAAGCATTTGTGAATGGTTTGACAGCTTACTGGGGACCACTAGGCACATGGCGCCCTCTTCTGTGCCCTTGGAAAAGCTTGCATTGAGCTAAAACCAGGCCATTGGCTAATCACACCTTAGCTGCACCCAGATTACTTACCCTGGAGCCCTTCTGGCACCATAACTACGACATCAGGCCATAACACATTATAGGTTATTTTTCCATATTTCATTCCGTGGTGTAATTTCCAGAGAAGTGACCGTTCCCCTTTTACTTTAAGCATGCGTGGGATAGGCATAAGGCTATCCTAACTATAAGATAAGGCCAGGGACTAATGAAAATATTTAGAAATATTGGGCAGACTAGATGGGCCGAATGGTTCTTATCTGCCGTCACATACTATGTTTCTATGTCTATGTTTCTATGTTACTTTTATCTTGTCTATGCGTTTCTAGTATGTTTTATTCACGTTGTCCCATAAAACCGTGTTTATATCCCCCGTCGTATTAACTACTAAAACATAGATAACTGTGGATTATTATGATTACAACAAACCTAATTATTTGAATGGTTTGTAGAGTAAAATAACTTCATTGTGTTACACCATCTTAAACCTTTTGTTAAATATTAGCATGCCCTCAATGAAGCGGTTTTACTCCACTGGTGACAAGAAAAGTGTCATATTTCTCATTCTGGCATGGAAAGTCATGTGTCTCTCCTTTTACCAGTTTATTATTGCCCATATTTTGACTAAGATTTAGAGATTGATATAGCTCTATATATTCAAGGCTATTTATTGCTTCTCTAAATATACCCAGGAGAAACCCACCACAGATGTATTTATAACCTTCCCTGAGAAACCATATAATGGTAATAGATCTTTGTTATAGCCATTCCTTCCCTATCCTTTAAGATAGTCCTATTTTTACCCCAGTACCATGAGTGATGGCTTGTTTAAAATAATTCCTTGCCAGAACTGGATATTTGAAGCCATACATTTAAAAGGGAGGCTTGCAACACCCAATGAATATGATCTGGTACAGGTTTAGAAACCCCCATCATTCTTTTTTAGTTATTTATATATATATTTATTTATTGTTTTACTCTAAATCTTTAGAAGTACTTCAGAGCACAATGTTACTTATACCGTAAATCCTATAAACGATGTATTTTTTTTTTTTTATTTTTTTTTTTAAAGTGTGTATTTTTAATATTTTTAAAAAGGACAAAAAAAACAAACTCTTTTTAAGACCGTGAGGAATTCAAAATCACTGAGGGAAGATGGGCAGGTAACAGGGTGCGTTCCATCACATTTAGCCTTTTCTAATGTAATTGCTCTATACATATCACCCCCTGTCTGTATAATAAATCATTTTAAAGCTTGACATTTGATTATTCCACTTACAGCATCTATGCCCTGGTGCTCCTTGGTCTAATTGGAAACTGCAGATCATAGAAGAAAGCACTCTCCAATGTTTACAGCAAAAATATGTTTAGAATTCCATACAAGTAGGGATTTTTTTTTAAATAACCTTTCCATTAAAAAAATATAATATATATAATCATAGTAAATATTTATTTGGTTCTTATAGAAGGAGCGAACCGCACAGTGCTACAGTCTGTGGAAGTCCTCACTTTTTTTTTTTTCTGAATTATTGTTCGGGTCTTACAGACCAAAACAGATATTGGATATTATTATTAATTTGGTCAGAAAAAAAGCCAAGGTCTCGGATACCTCTTGACAGTTGAAGAGTAATCCTCTAGCATCAGGAGAGGAAGAACCTTGTATGGAGGAAACCATGGCCTGAAGGACTGCCCTTCCATCTGGACAATAAAATACAAATATAGTAGTACATTTCTCAGAAACGGTGCTTACTCTTAATAAGCTGTTTAAATTGATAGGAAGATAGATGCATAGATAAAATGCTCAAGCACATTAATCATAGCGTGATTGAGAATACTTCATGTAATGTGCCCATTAGGCTCTTCTCTGCTTCCAGGAAATAAATGATGATGGGCCGAATGGTTCTTATCTACCGTCACATTCTATATTTCTAACAACTCCATAGCATGGAGACAAAAGCAATACTCCCAACTCAGCAAATACACTGCTTAAAATGTTTATCCCGGGGGGCGGGGCCTGACAGCAGAGCCGAGCGGTTGACAACCTCGAGGGCTCCTGCATGAAACCGCTAATTAAACTGCTTTCCCTAACCAAAACGCAGACCAATTGCGCCGACAGAACTGTCAATCGATGGGTAATATTGAACAGAACACAATGATACCCCTAAAGCGGGGGCCTCGATGCGGAAAGATCCCTGCTCCCCTCCCCCCCTCTGGACCAGCGGGGATCATCCCGGTCCACCAGCAAAGGGCAAGCACCCACCTCTGGGACACAGACCCGAGCCACGCCGCTCTGGCGGCCCCTCGAGGCCTGACCAAGATGGCCAACGGCAGGGCTATTAATCAGCAACAGCAGAATGCTGAGGACTGGGCAATGGCCTTCAGAGTTAAATTCGATGCAGTCTGCCAACCCTTCTGGGAACGCATTGAAGCTAGGCGCACATGTCCCACACCGATATCAACCTCAAAGACAACGAGCCACCGCGCACCCATCACCACGCAACCGGGTCATCCGAACAAAGTGCTGCCACAGCGAAAGCGTACACAAGATAAGGGTACCCGGTGAAAGAAGCGAATCGCCTCGCATCCAGCCAAAAAAAAATCCTCAATACAGCACGTACCGGAGACACCACAGCCGAATAACACCTGCACACACAGTGCCCAGCACCTGCAGCAAACTCACAAGATGGTGCAGGGGACCACTGCTGCACTTCCTGAACGCTCAAGGTACCTGCCGAAAAGCCGGAATCGGATGAACCCCCCCCCCCCTCATATTTGGGATCCCAGAGACTGAAACCTCCAACCACTGAGGATATAGTAATGACCCAAGATTTGACTTTCCTGCAACACTATCCTCTTTTTTGCATTTTCGTTTAGCGAGCAATAGCCTCCACTCCTGTATAACTCTTTCAGTGCCTAGTCAATGCGGCAGTAATGTATATGTTTTTTCATCACAGTTGGTTAGCTAGAGATAACATGCTATTACATATGCACTAGACTCACTAGATAAATCAGAGAGTAGGCTGCTAGCTTTCATTGCTTTAAAGGAAATGCATTGTTAAGATACTGCTAGATCTGCTCAGCTAAGATAGGACCAATAGTTTTTTGTACTATATCAAAATCGCTTATTTAGCAGATATACCTCAGTTAACACAGTAACTGAAGATAAGTGCTATTAGCGAACATTTGAAAGGACTATTTACCCAATTGTATCCAACAAAGATTACATAAGTTGCAAAATATTGTGCACTCTATAGCAACTCTCTTTTTATACTACTGATTTCTTATTACTTTGAATTTTTATCTACCTTTTTGATCAGTACTTTTAACATTTTGTGCAGAATAGGGCTAACATATGGTGCAATTATTGTAGATTCCAATGTATATAAGCACTGTTTTTTATGAGCATTGATTTATAAGCAATTTTTATCAGCTTTATTTTACAAGGTATATATCCTATATTACTCGTGGATAACTATTAGAGTTAATCTAATATTTTATTTTAGCATTGCTACCTTTGTGCTGATGAGGTAAGGGACTGAGTCTATGAAGGTGCATCGTATATGATGTCATAACCTTGCACTTTCCTCAGTCCCAAGAAAGCAGTGACATTTGCCATAACACACAGAATACTTCATCCTCGAAAACACCATTAGATGATGTAATGAAGGGAGTGAGGGAATCTGGCAATGGAGGAGTAACTGTAGCCGGTCAAAGAACAGAAGGTGGCTGGGAAGGTATGTGTGATTATATGAGTGTTGGAGCAAGTAAGGCTGGGGAGGAAGGCATATTACTGGTGGTTGGGAGTATTCATAGCAGAAATGATAATGCTATTTGGACCATACAGTGAAGGGGTATGCATGGGAGACAGACTGATTAGTCTTGAGGGCATCTGTCCACTATGAAATCCTCATGGTTTATTGGCATGGAGCAAGTGAAGAGTGTTCTTCTAATGCTGCAAAGGACTTGATGCTCTAATGTTTTTCAGGTTTGGTAAAGACAACTAAGCAAAGTTCTGCTCAGAATTATTCACACAGTACATGTCACTAGGACTGTTTTATTATTTTTTACAGTGGGCTTTTCCTGAGGTGTACGACAGAAGATTAGCTTAGGTGAATGTCTCAGTTCCTTCAATGTTCCTTGGAGCGTTGTGCTTTGTCTAAAGATCTGGTTTTCTCGGAATGTCCCAGCTGCCTGCTTGTGTCTTTGGCACATTAATATGCATAGATAAGGAGTTATTTACAGGTATAAAACCAACAATTGTCAATTTCTGTTCCATTTTGTCCATGCATTTGACAGCATTAAAAAAAGTGTTTTTTCATTGAGCCATAGTCTAATTTACATAAGAGTTTTTTTAGTTACTGAACCCCGACATGCCGTGGTTTTATTTATTTTTATTTGTTACTGGCATTTATAAAGCGCCAACATATTCCGCAGCGCTGTATAATTGGGAAAGACAACACAATAAGAACAGACCACTACAACAGGTAGAGGGTCCTGCCCGTAAGCTTACAATCTAAAGGATAAACTGGGGAGATGAGACAAGAGGTAGCAGAGGAGTGTGTATGTGATACCAGATAGAGTTAATATATATACTACCGCAGCTGATAGCATGTGATGGGAATGAGGAGGTGGTGATTGGCTGTGGTTCCAAACAACTGAAAGAGCATGCTATATAATAGGAAGGAACCAGGGTGCGTGGGTGGGTAGAGCCAAGTAAAATTAAAAGGCCTTGTAGCAGGAATGGATGATGATTTGGGGCTAAGGAAGAGAGATAAAACTGTTGCAATACAGCCACGGCTCACCTCAAAGGTCTTACAGCGCATACAAACCACGTTATTATGCTACACAAGACACTGTATAAGCTGTGTTGTACTCTTGCTTACACTATGGGACACCCGAGCAGGATACCATTGCATAGTTTGTACCGATGCCTAGCCTGTTTAACACAAGACACAATCTTGTAACACACTACTGCTACACACTCACACTAAAATACTCAACTGAAACTCATCAGTTATACATGTCTACATCTATGTACGCTGTTGTGGCGTTTTACTTTGATATGTACCCACCTGCACAATAAAAATAAAGAATTAAAAAAATAAATACATTTAAAGCTGGGAGTGGCAAGGGGGGGGGGGATGTAATGGAGCAGGCTAGCCATTTGTTATAAACAAGTTATAAACAAGTAAGTATTTGGCAACCACATTTCCATCAGCCAGATTATTAATAACTACGTGTAACATCAAGTACAAAATATTACAGTAGTAAACTATATGAAACAATGGTAGTATCATTATAGTAAAGTAATAATCTAGTTTTATGGATTGCGATTCAGCAATTGTATGGTATGTTTCACAAGAATCAGCCCTACTGGACAGTCTGCTTACCAAAGGGAGACTTCTGCTACTGATGTGAACATGTCAGATGGCCATGCATGTGGTACTTGATCCTTCAGAGGGGTGGCGGAAATGCAAAGCTACCTGCCAATGAACAAAAAGCTCTAATTGTTAGAGATTAAAGGGATAGACCATCATTATACTAATGGCTAGGGGAGATATAACGCTTTAGACACCAGCATGTCAAGCTCAAGCCATTTGTTTTCCATCATTCCTTTTGTTTCAGTGTCTTGCAGGCAGCTGCTCAAGTCTTCTGCCCTTTCTTGCAGATATCTCTAGAAGTGTGATCCACCTATTGTATGTATTGCATTTGTATTTATGTTTGAGTGGTATAAAGGATTTCCCACTCAGGTGACATATCACACTCACATCGTCTTCACTGTATATATTGCACTTTTTTGTCATGTCAAGCTCAAAGGCTAGCACAGGCCACATAAACAAGGTTTAAGTTTATGTGGGCCACAAATAAAAAAACAAAACCTTACATTTTCATAGAAACTTAGCTTTGTTTTTAAAAGTACAGTATAAAAAAAAAAAATCAGCGTTCCCCCCTCTGTACTAAATCCCAGTCCCCCCCCTCTATACTAACTCCCAGTCCCTCCCCCCCTCTACTAAACCCAGCACCCCCTCCCCCCCCTTTACTAAACCCCAGCCCTTGTTTTAAAAAAAAATTAACAACAAGCAGACTCCACTCACATTGCCGCTGCCAGTATGCGACTCTGGAGTTCAGCCTCTGGTATACCTCCAATGGCGCCATCCCCACCTTGTGCTAAAGCTGATCCTCTCGCTACTCCTTGAAAACCTGTGAAGTTGGAGAATGTTGACATCACGTCAGAATGTGACGTGGCATTGCCTCCGTGCATTGCCTCCGTGCGGCCATCGCAACCCTGACAGACACACACACACTCTCTGACAGACACACACACACTCTCTGACAGACACACACACACTCTCTCTGACACACACACTCTGATAGACACACACACAGACACACTGACAGAGACAGACACACTGACCAACACACACACATTCTCTGACAGACACATACACACACTCTCTGACAGACAGACACACACACGCAAACACATTTCCACATTCTTGCCCACACCAACATCATTTGATTTATTGCTCCCAACTTATTGGAGCTGGTGTGGGGCCTCTTCTCTCGGGAGCTCAGTCTTCCTGCTCCTCACTGCTCAGTTTAGTGATGCTGGGTGCCGGAATATGACGTCATATTAAGGAGTGCACTAAGGAGTGCGCGCGCAAGGGAGCAGTGAGGAGCAGGAAGACTGAGCTCCCATCGCTACCGCCAGGGACCTCTCCTACGGCCGGTACCGGTAAGTTTGAGCAGAGTAGGCACCTGCAATGTAAGGAGAGCAGGTGCCTACTCTGCCTTAGTAATCATGACAAACTCGCGGCTTGTGGGCCGCAAATATATTCATTGTGGGCCGCAAGTTTGACATGCTTGAGCTATAGTATGTATCTATAATTTGTATTGTATATGGAAGATTGTGTTTGTACACTACAGTTAAATCATGAACTTTTATATGTCCATTATGCAATTCTACAGAATATGATAATTATCTTAATCATTGTTTGGTCACTTGAATATTTTACAGGGAGTGCAGAATTATTAGGCAAATGAGTATTTTGACCACATCATCCTCTTTATGCATGTTGTCTTACTCCAAGCTGTATAGGCTCGAAAGCCTACTACCAATTAAGCATATTAGGTGATGTGCATCTCTGTAATGAGAAGGGGTGTGGTCTAATGACATCAACACCCTATATCAGGTGTGCATAATTATTAGGCAACTTCCTTTCCTTTGGCAAAATGGGTCAAAAGAAGGACTTGACAGGCTCAGAAAAGTCAAAAATAGTGAGATATCTTGCAGAGGGATGCAGCACTCTTAAAATTGCAAAGCTTCTGAAGCGTGATCATCGAACAATCAAGCGTTTCATTCAAAATAGTCAACAGGGTCGCAAGAAGCGTGTGGAAAAACCAAGGCGCAAAATAACTGCCCATGAACTGAGAAAAGTCAAGCGTGCAGCTGCCACGATGCCACTTGCCACCAGTTTGGCCATATTTCAGAGCTGCAACATCACTGGAGTGCCCAAAAGCACAAGGTGTGCAATACTCAGAGACATGGCCAAGGTAAGAAAGGCTGAAAGACGACCACCACTGAACAAGACACACAAGCTGAAACGTCAAGACTGGGCCAAGAAATATCTCAAGACTGATTTTTCTAAGGTTTTATGGACTGATGAAATGAGAGTGAGTCTTGATGGGCCAGATGGATGGGCCCGTGGCTGGATTGGTAAAGGGCAGAGAGCTCCAGTCCGACTCAGACGCCAGCAAGGTGGAGGTGGAGTACTGGTTTGGGCTGGTATCATCAAAGATGAGTTTGTGCTGCCTTTTCGGGTTGAGGATGGAGTCAAGCTCAACTCCCAGTCCTACTGCCAGTTCCTGGAAGATACCTTCTTCAAGCAGTGGTACAGGAAGAAGTCTGCATCCTTCAAAAAAAACATGATTTTCATGCAGGACAATGCTCCATCACACGCGTCCAAGTACTCCACAGCGTGGCTGGCAAGAAAGGGTATAAAAGAAGAAAATCTAATGACATGGCCTCCTTGTTCACCTGATCTGAACCCCATTGAGAACCTGTGGTCCATCATCAAATGTGAGATTTACAAGGAGGGAAAACAGTACACCTCTCTGAACAGTGTCTGGGAGGCTGTGGTTGCTGCTGCACGCAATGTTGATGGTGAACAGATCAAAACACTGACAGAATCCATGGATGGCAGGCTTTTGAGTGTCCTTGCAAAGAAAGGTGGCTATATTGGTCACTGATTTGTTTTTGTTTTGTTTTTGAATGTCAGAAATGTATATTTGTGAATGTTGAGATGTTATATTGGTTTCACTGGTAATAATAAATAATTGAAATGGGTATATATTTGTTTTTTGTTAAGTTGCCTAATAATTATGCACAGTAATAGTCACCTGCACACACAGATATCCCCCTAACATAGCTAAAACTAAAAACAAACTAAAAACTACTTCCAAAAATATTCAGCTTGATATTAATGAGTTTTTTGGGTTCATTGAGAACATGGTTGTTGTTCAATAATAAAATTAATCCTCAAAAATACAACTTGCCTAATAATTCTGCACTCCCTGTAATGCTTTCTTTTTTTTTTTATAGACCGTGACCAGCAGCGAAGGGAAAAAATTAAAAAGCAGCTGTCACAGTTTGAGGTGGGATCATTGCAAAGGCAGCAGTCGAGAATTGATTGGCGCCCACGTTCCACGGAAAGTACAGGTTCTCTAACCCAGAGAAAGGTATGACTGCATGCTAATTATTGGAAACGGTGTGGTGAGTTTTCTTTTGAATCAATTTTTTCATCTTACTGAAGAAATTAATAGACTTAAATCTAAACTCTGGTACTAAAATTAATAAACGCGAAGCGTCCGGGCAGTGATCAGCACTTACCGTATTAACCCTCTACAGTGAATAATTGCTATTAATTTATGTTCTCGCCAGCGTGGCAGAATAATTATTACTGAATTGGTTCATACCAATTATCGGGTAACGGTGTGCAAGAATTTAATATCTTCCTGAGATCCAGCCCATTAACTTGTGTCCCCTGTACTGGGCATTTCGTTCACATGCATCTCCTTTTATTCTTTTGAGCTACGCTATCAATCCCTGCTGTATTGTAAAGAGGACATCCTGGGCCTTCCAGTGATATGTCATGTGATAGGCTGGGATGCTGAGAACTTCCTCTTCCTTTTCATCAAAAATGGAAAGAAATTGGAAGAGAATTATTTTCCTCCGTTCCCGAGAGGACATATCAATTACTTTGTTAGTCTCGGACAAAATTAGGATACACTGTGTTTTGTGTGGGGGTTCTGGCACTAAATAATTGAAAATTTACACCTTTTTGCATTAAGTACCTGTTGTAAACCTGTATACTGCAGATTGTATATTCCACTCACAAAAACATGTACAGGCTGTGAAGCCAATGTTCGCCCATAACATTTTTTTTTTTTAATTCTTTTTTGTTTTGTTTTGACTGCAGGGGCATGATCTATACACCAAGATAGCTTCATTAAGCTTAAGTTGTTTTGGTAACGGACTATAATGTCCCTTTAATCATTAAATTATGAGTTGTCTTTTATTCATAGTGATTCAAGTGAATTTAAAATGTTAGGCCAACATTGCTGAACTTAAAACATATCTGACTTGGTAAATTTTCACCTAATTTCTGAAATGCTAGCAATTCACAGTTTAGTAAATAATCCCATTATTCATGTCTGTTAAAGGAGCACATGCCGCTCTATAAAAAGTGTTTATATTAAAATGCAGCTTTACATGACGTAATGTGAGCAGCTCTTTCCCTCTTGGGGGTATTTGACCTTTAATGTATTGTCATATCTCTGTACAGTTTGCTTTTCCTGCGTATCCTACTGATGTACAATCTCTTCTCAAAGAGGCCCATCTGAAAGATTATTATTTTATCTTGGTAACCACATACACCACAAGATTCACTTTAAGGATCTGAGAGCCTGGCCTCCTGCTGATCTGTGGTTTCTGATTATATCCAGGCAAAAAATTATTAAATTAGAAATCTCTCCAAAAATTAAGTGAAGTGTAATTACCTTTTATTAGACATATTCTGTCTCATTCAGATGTCATTTTTTATTGTGCACTGTTAGTCTTCTGATTTGGAGGCTGGTCTTAAATTGCATTTATAAGTATAACGCTGGGCTTCTAAACCAGCCATCAACCTGGGTAGCTATTAACAAAGTTGAGCTGAAACAGGCCATAAAAGATGGATACTGCCAAACATTGGGGATATCACACACAGGGTTATTTAGTAATGTGTGAATTGCCAGGAATTCAAAGAGAATTTAACATCTCTGATAAAAATAGCCTAACTGGACACATCGATGACTTAAAGATTTTATTGAAATTCAGTTTTTAATTAATTTCAGGGAGAAGAGCCCTAAATTTTTAAATGGTTAATAAAACATAAAATTTTTATTAATATTGTTAAAAGTAATTTCATAATCTCAATGATATCCAAGTAATATGTTCATGAAACACAGTGTCTTTAGAAGTGAGTGTTGCTCTAAGGTGAGTTTACTTACCTTTCTTACCTCGCTGCACAAGGCTGACCAAGGCCGTTCCACTTGCCTGGCTGAAATCATCACGATTGGCGATCTCAGCCAATCTAATGCCTTCCCGTAGGGGAACCATTGGGAGCCAAGTGCACATTTGCGGCAGATCACTTTATTGCGCCAATCAAATGCTCCATGTGAGCAGCATTTAATTGAAGAGTCGGTTCTTATACTAGAAACACCTCTAGTGCCTGTCACACTACGGCTGTGCTTAACCCGGAAATGGAAACATTCTGGTTTCTACAAAATGTTTTATTTATTCCCGCGTTAAAACTATAAAGGACCACTGCACCCAGGCAAGTTCATTGAGATAACGTTGTCAAGGTGCCTTTTGTGGTACATTAAAAAAACTAAAGAGAATTTCATGTCAACAAAAATACTATTTTGAACAAGTTTAAGGTAATGTGTGCCAATTTTCTTATTTTTGCAATATTAACCATTAATCATTAAATTATGATGTGTGGATAATTTACAAGGGAAGTATACATTTTATACCAAATCGGCTATTGGGAATGGTATGTCCGTCTTGGCTGTTTTAGCTTAGAATTTGCAATTCCCTTGCCAATTATGTGTTATTTCAAGTTTAGTGAATGAATACAGGGTCCAGGAGTAAGCAAAAATGAATCCCCTTGAAGGCAATCTGGGATGGTATAATATACAATGATTTAGTATGAATATTGAGTTTCAATAATTCAATATGATCAGCTCCTTAAACGCTAAACAAGCCAATGCAACGGTACTCTTTGTGCACTGAAAGTAATGAATATGTAACTAAATGGAAGTTTTGATTCTTGCTTGCATTGGAATTTTATGTGTCCCTTGTCAATCCTTCAACCGTTGACCCTGCAGTTTAAACATGGTCTTTCCTGCAGAATGACAATGTTTTCAATTGCAGAGTTAAAACAACAAGGGCATGGAAACCTACCACTTCATTGAGATAAAGGGATCTTGGGTGCCTTATGTGTCCCTTTAACCCAGGGCTCGACAGATCCTTAAATTATGGCTGGGAAATTGTGGAGGTAGGCGGCATGCTGGCGGGTCGTGGAGGAGGGCGCTAGCTGCGTGAATGGTAAGCAGGGGGCGAGGGAGCTGTGATGTCCCTGCTGCTCTGCTCACTCGCCGCTTAGTGAGACTCGGGCTGAAATATATCGCCCTACTCCGCCCCGGTCTCACTAAGCAGCGCATGGGGAAGCAGAGCAGGGACATCACAGCTACTATTCAAGCAGCTAGTCGCCCGCCTCCACAATAATCCAGCATGCCGCCCACCTCCACGACGCAACCCTCCAGCATTCTGCCGCCTCTATAATCCCCCAGCCGTTCACCCACTGGACCCTACATGAATTAAAACAACCAATAATGTGTGAGTGTATGTCTGTCATGGTGCATGTGTGTCTGTCATGATGTGTTTGTTTAGGTGACCAGACTCCTTCCGTTTGCAAGGGTATGGTGTTCTTACTCACCTTATTTTTTATTTATTTTTTTACGCTGTGCTGGTCTCCCCTTGACTGGCCCTGCCTCTATGGCTAAGATTATCACGCTTGATGATCTCAGCCAATTCAATCTTTTCCCATAGGATTGACTGCACCAATTAGCATCTCCTTATAGAGATGCATTGAATCAATACATCTCTATTGGGAATGGTCAGCGTCTCCATGCCGAGCGTGCAGACTCTGAATGAAGGTTCTGCACACTGTAACGCTCTGACACAGGAAGCACCTCTAGTGACTGTCTGAGTGATGCTCACTAGATGTGTCACTAGGAAACACTGCCTTTTCTCTGAAAAGGCAGTGTTTACATTGAAAAGCCTGCAGGACAGGCAATGGACACCAGAACCACTACATTGGTCTCTTCATCCTGCGATGTCACAACATGGTGGGACTTAATCAGCATGCACGGTGCCCGCATTGAAGTGTCCCCATAGGAAAATGTTGAATCAATGCTTTCCTATGGGGAGTTTGAAGATGTTTGACCTCAACATGCAAAGCGTGAGTACGTCTAATGTTGTTTCACTGAGTAAAACTCTGTTATGCACCAGGAATCACCAATGAGATGAAGTGGTCTGGGTGCCTCTAGTCTTCCTCTACGTATAACTTGAATTAACTGTGGATATATGCAACTGCACTTTCAAAACTTGAATGATCATTCACAGGTCAGGTCTGCAACCTCCTTGTCGAAATCCTGTTTGCAACCCTTGCTGAATCTCAAACAAATGCTTTTAAGAAATTATGTCTTTCTTTTTTAAATCCTCATGTGATACATGTACACCTCCGTACAACAATTTTGGCCAAACAATGGCACAAGACCAGCATTTTTCTCCAGAGGAAAACTTTCATACCAAATACAATCCTAAATGTAATTACACAGCTACTCAAGTTCTTCGTCTGAAAGTCTGCTTTTAATCACTTATGATTTATTTATTTTTTTGTGAGGTGGGGGGTGGTCCGCATTTTTATTTTTACATTGTGCACAATGAGCAATCAAGAGTACTAGTAGTGTGTGGGGCTAATAACACTAAAAACATGAATATTTTCAATAAATTTTATTTATTGCACTAACAGCAGCAGCACAAGCCCAATAAAGAGCTGCCTTACAGGTATTAATTACCTTTTCATTGCAAAAATCTCTGTGTCATTCAGCAGTGCCTCATGTTGTTTGATCCTGTGGCTGTATTGCCTGCTCTCAATAAAACGCTTGCAATTCTGATTTTCAGCAGAAGTGTGCTTTAAACTATTGTTCCTCTATGGGCTTTTTTATTTGTGTGTTTTTAAAAAAAAATATATTGGCCAAAATATCTATCCTAAGGTCGATAATGGTCCTTCAGTATATAAATGAATGACATTGAATGAAAGACTAAGATGGCGTACCTCTTGCTCTCCATGTAAAATAGCAATTGTACCACGTATACAACCAATCCACAATGTCTGACTTATGACAATTACCTATTGGAAGCCACTTCCGTGATTTACAAACAGAAAGTGTAGCTGCAGGTGAAAATGTATTTATTATTATTGTATTTTATCACTACAATTAGCTTTTTCAAATATGGAAACTTTCATAAAAGCTCACTTTTAAAGTAAAATCAGACGTGGCTCATACAGCGAGGGAAAAAAAGTAGAAACTCAAATAACTTTATTTTCTTCATTTAACTTTATTTTCTTTACTTAAAATCTCGGCTGGGACTGTACAGTAGGGGAGAATGCACAACCACGATGATGTTTACACATTTCGCGCCTCAAGGGTACTTCATCAGATCCTGTGTTGGTCCAACTGCACATCAGAAGTATGAAGGTTTTTTTTTTTCCTCACCAGCCACCTACTTAATACCATTTTTTGTTTTGGATACAAGATTTTTTTGGGGGGGGGATAGCACTCAATTTATGGCTGATTTGACAAATATTTATAGAATTTAAGATTCACACTTAACTATTGAAGAGCCAAGCCCAGGAATGAACTGATGTATATAGTTGTGTATGTAATACAATTATAAAAAAAAAAAAAATCTAAAAAAACACTAGCGTGACAACTGTAAAATGTCCATTATGGGAACCATGTGCTCATAGTGTCTGCATGTTCTGTGAGGATGATAGTCCTAAATACATTGTATAAATAAATCTTTGTATGTATTTAGTCTTGTAAAGTAGCGAAAGCATTTTGTGTGAAATGCGTTGACATAAGTCCCACCACATACCTCTCATGTGTCCTTTACTATGACCCAAATCTTCTTGTCCCTCTTTTCTCTGGCACACCTCTTTTCTAGGAGCTCACAATATATGGTGTGTGTGTGTGTGTCACAGAGCACCACCGAATCACAAGTACTGTTTGCTCTAGATGTGCCACATTGCTTCACTCCAGTAAAAATTACATGAATAAGAACCTAACACCAAAAGCTACATCCATCTGTGGTAGTAGTGGCTTGGACCTTTCTGAGTTATAATCATGGGACATAGAAACATAGAATGTGACGGCAGATAAGAACCATTCGGCCCATCTAGTCTGCCCAATTTTCTAAATACTTTCATTAGTCCCTAGTCTTAACTTATAGTTAGGATAGCTTTATGCCTATCCCACGCATGCTTAAACTCCTTTACTGTGCTAACCTCTACCACTTCAGCTGGAAGGCTATTCCATGCATCCACTACCCTTTCAGTAAAGTAATAATTCCTGATATTATTTTTAAACCTTTGTCCCTCTAATTTAAGACTATGTCCTCTTGTTGTGGTAGTTTTTCTTCTTTTAAATATAGTCTCCTCCTTTACTGTGTTGATTCCCTTTATATATTTAAATGTTTCTATCATATCCCCCCTGTCTCGTCTTTCCTCCAAGCTATACATGTTAAGATCCTTTAACCTTTCCTGGTAAGTTTTATCCCGCAATCCATGAACCAGTTTAGTAGCCCTTCTCTGAACCCTCTCTAAGGTATCAATATCCTTCTGAAGATACGGTCTCCAGTACTGTGTACAATACTCCAAGTGAGGTCTCACCAGTGTTCTGTACAATGGCATGAGCACTTCCCTCTTTCTACTGCTAATACCTCTCCCTATACAACCAAGCATTCTGCTAGCATTTCCTGCTGCTCTATTACATTGTCTGCCTACCTTTAAGTCATCAGAAATAATCACCCCTAAATCCCTTTCCTCATATGTTGAGGTTAGGACTCTATCAAATATTCTGTACTCTGCCCTTGGGTTTTTACGTCCAAGATGCATTATCTTGCACTTATCCACATTAAATGTCAGTTGCCACAATTCTGACCATTTTTCTAGTTTACCTAAATCATTTGTCATTTGGCTTATCCCTCCTGGAACATAAACCCTGTTACATATCTTAGTATCATCAGCAAAAAAACATACCTTACCATCAAGACCTTCTGCAATATCACTAATAAAAATATTAAAGAGAATGGGTCCAAGTACAGATCCCTGAGGTACCCCACTGGTGACAAGTCCAAGCTTCAAATATATTCCATTAACTACAACCCTCTGTTGCCTGTCACTCAGCCACTGCCTTACCCATTCAACAATATTTGAATCCAAACTTAAAGATTGCAGTTTATTGATAAGCCTTCTATGTGCAACAGTGTCAAAAGCCTTACTGAAATCTAGGTAAGCAATGTCTACTGCACCACCCTGATCTATAATTTTAGTTACCCAATCAAAAAAATCAATAAGATTAGTTTGGCATGATCTCCCTGAAGTAAACCCATGTTGTCTCTGATCTTGAAATCCATGTGGTTTTAGATGTTCATCAATCCTATCCTTTAACATGGTTTCCATCACTTTCCCCACTACTGAAGTAAGGCTTACTGGCCTATAGTTGCCCGACTCCTCCCTATTACCTTTCTTGTAAATGGGCACAACATTCGCTAACTTCCAATCTTCTGGGACTACTCCTGTTAACAATGATTGGTTAAATAAATCTGTTAATGGTTTTGCTATTACACCACTAAGCTCTTTTAATAGCTTTGGGTGTATTCCATCAGGTCCCATTGACTTATTTGTCTTTACTTTTGACAGTTGAAATAGAACCTCTTCCTCTGTAAACTCACGTGTAATAAATGACTCATTTATCCTTTTTCTCAACTGAGGTCCCTTTCCTTCATTTTCATCTGTAAATACAGAACAAAAATATTCATTGAGGCAGTCAGCTAGACCTTTATCCTCTTCTACATACCTTCCTTCTTTTGTTTTTAATCTAACTAATCCTTGTTTTACTTTTCTTTTCTCATTTATGTATCTAAAAAATGTTTTATCCCCCTTTTTTACTGACTGTGCTATTTTCTCTTCTGTGTGTGATTTGGAAGCTCTTATAACTTGCTTAGCCTCTTTCTGCCTAATCTTATAGATCATTTTGTCTTCCTCACTCTGGGTTTTTTTATAATTCCTAAATGCTAACTTTTTGTTTTTAACTATTTTGGCCACATCTGCGGAGTACCACAGTGGTTTCTTGAATTTTTTGCTTTTACTGACAAGCCTAATGCAATTTTCTGTTGCCTTCAATAGTGCAACTTTTAAATAATCCCATTTCTCTTGGACTCCATTTAAATTGCTCCAGTCTGATAATGACTCCTCTACCCATATTCTAATTTTAGAAAAGTCTGTTTTTCTAAAGTCTAAAACTTTTGTTTTTGTGTGGTGTGACTCAGTCACTGTTCTTATATTAAACCACACTGACTGATGATCACTGGATCCTAAACTTTCACCTACAGTAATATCTGATACCAAATCTCCATTTGTTAACACTAAATCTAGTATGGCCTCTTTACGAGTTGGCTCCTCAACAACTTGTTTTAGAGACAATCCCAGTAGGGAGTTTAGAATATGTGTGCTCCTGGCACAAGTAGCTAATTTTGTTTTCCAATTTACATCAGGAAGATTAAAGTCACCCATGATGATAACTTCCCCCTTCATTGTCATTTTAGCTATTTCCTCAACTAGTAGATTATCTAACTCTTCAATTTGTCCTGGGGGCCTATAAATCACACCTACACGAGTTACTGTGTGATTACCAAATTCTAACGTAGCCCAAACGGACTCTGTTTGCCTCACTAACTTTTATTAGGCTAGATTTTATGCTATCCTTCACATACAAGGCCACCCCTCCCCCTTTCTTGCCTTCCCTATCTTTCCTATATAAAGAGTACCCTGGTATTGCTATGTCCCAGTCATTTTTCTCATTGTACCATGTCTCAGTAACAGCGACTAAATCTACACTATCAGTTGCCATTATTGCCACAAGTTCATGGATCTTATTCCCTAAACTGCGAGCATTTGTAGACATGACTCTAAGCTTATCATTTTTAACACACTTGCTACAGGCACCTTCTGTCCTTGTTTTGGGGGACAATTGATTGATGTTTTATCACCCTTTGCCCCCCTGGGACACACTCTCCTCTCCTTGATGATCACTTTTAATCTACTGGTTAATACTTTTACACTTTAATTGCTCTCTTGCTTCCCCCATAACCAAACTGGAGATGATGATGTAAATGTGAAGTATGTATTTTCAAAATTTTGTTTAAGGCTGGTCTTTTTTTTGTAAACAGAAACAGATAAATGAATTAGTGCTCGGATGTTTCCAACGAGGACCTGACTCTTTGCATCTCGGGACAATTACAAAGTAAAAGGTCACATAAGATCACACTATACAGGGAGTGCAGAATTATTAGGCAAGTTGTATTTTTGAGGATTAATTTTATTATTGAACAACAACCATGTTCTCAATGAGCCCAAAAAACTAATTAATATCAAAGCTGAATATTTTTGGAAGTAGTTTTTAGTTTGTTTTTAGTTATAGCTATGTTAGGGGGATATCTGTGTGTGAAGGTGACTATTAGTGTGCATAATTATTAGGCAACTTAACAAAAAACAAATATATACCCATTTCAATTATTTATTATTACCAGTGAAACCAATATAACATCTCAACATTCACAAATATACATTTCTGACATTCAAAAACAAAACAAAAACAAGTCAGTGACCAATATAGCCACCTTTCTTTGCAAGGACACTCAAAAGCCTGCCATCCATGGATTCTGTCAGTGTTTTGATCTGTTCACCATCAACATTGCGTGCAGCAGCAACCACAGCCTCCCAGACACTGTTCAGAGAGGTGTACTGTTTTCCCTCCTTGTAAATCTCACATTTGATGATGGACCACAGGTTCTCAATGGGGTTCAGATCAGGTGAACAAGGAGGCCATGTCATTAGATTTTCTTCTTTTATACCCTTTCTTGCCAGCCACGCTGTGGAGTACTTGGACGCGTGTGATGGAGCATTGTCCTGCATGAAAATCATGTTTTTCTTGAAGGATGCAGACTTCTTCCTGTACCACTGCTTGAAGAAGGTGTCTTCCAGGAACTGGCAGTAGGACTGGGAGTTGAGCTTGACTCCATCCTCAACCTGAAAAGGCCCCACAAGCTCATCTTTGATGATACCAGCCCAAACCAGTACTCCACCTCCACCTTGCTGGCGTCTGAGTCGGACTGGAGCTCTCTGCCCTTTACCAATCCAGCCACGGGCCCATCCATCTGGCCCATCAAGACTCACTCTCATTTCATCAGTCCATAAAACCTTAGAAAAATCAGTCTTGAGATATTTCTTGGCCCAGTCTTGACGTTTCAGCTTGTGTGTCTTGTTCAGTGGTGGTCGTCTTTCAGCCTTTCTTACCTTGGCCATGTCTCTGAGTATTGCACACCTTGTGCTTTTGGGCACTCCAGTGATGTTGCAGCTCTGAAATATGGCCAAACTGGTGGCAAGTGGCATCGTGGCAGCTGCACGCTTGACTTTTCTCAGTTCATGGGCAGTTATTTTGCGCCTTGGTTTTTCCACACGCTTCTTGCGACCCTGTTGACTATTTTGAATGAAACGCTTGATTGTTCGATGATCACGCTTCAGAAGCTTTGCAATTTTAAGAGTGCTGCATCCCTCTGCAAGATATCTCACTATTTTTGACTTTTCTGAGCCTGTCAAGTCCTTCTTTTGACCCATTTTGCCAAAGGAAAGGAAGTTGCCTAATAATTATGCACACCTGATATAGGGTGTTGATGTCATTAGACCACACCCCTTCTCATTACAGAGATGCACATCACCTAATATGCTTAATTGGTAGTAGGCTTTCGAGCCTATACAGCTTGGAGTAAGACAACATGCATAAAGAGGATGATGTGGTCAAAATACTCATTTGCCTAATAATTCTGCACTCCCTGTATGTTGATTAAAATATTTTTTTTGCTGTAGCTACCTGCTCACTTCTCAGTAAAAATATTTCGTTGCTGTTGTGCAGTCACTTTTTTCAGTATCCATTCATATAAGGTGGGCACCTTTGCCAACACCATCAAATCTTGAGACTTCTAGCATTTTAACTAATCATCCTTGCCATTTTAAAAATTTATATGATTTTGTGTACACATCTAAGCTGGCTATTTTGTTCATCTGGCTCTTGTTTACGTGAATGTTTATTGTGAAGTTTTGTTGGATTTTTTCTTCTGTGTTTTTTTTCTTGTGTTTTTTCACTAAGCAACAGAAATAAACATATTCAGGATCGCAAACAAAGCCGTATTGGTGGTGACTAAATTTAAACTAATGATAGTAATTAATTTAAATGTGGAACGGAGCAAAACAAAAGCTTACAGATGGCTTACGAAGGAGAAGTCATTCTGTTTAACTCAACTTTGCAATTTTGTTATTTAGTTTTTCCTTTTCAAAAGAAACCTGCTGGGTTACTTGATTCTGCGATCTGCTTCCACAAAACAGTCAAGATGCACCAAAATAGGAAGCCGCGCAGATCATCGTGGGCTCCACCAAAACTGTCAGATGCACCAACAGCAGGAGGTTGTTTAATATTTAAATTGTCAAAATATTTCGCGTTTCCCTGGCAACCTTTTTTGGGCATCACTGATTTTTCAGATTATCCAAGTAATATCTCGCAGAGAATCACTATAATTTATTTCTGAAAACGGTTATGGTCCATGTAGAGAAGACGCGTTAGGTTTCAAACACTGACACTGTTCGCTACAGTTCTGTGAAAGTACCTTGCATGGTTTTTTGTTTTTTTTACATATCACAAAAAAACTTATATAATGCTTGTTTTTTAACTATCACAGATTCTAGTTTGAAGGAAAAGGCATGATTTAAATCAGGGGTGCCCAAAAGGCTGATCCCCAGATGTAGAACTACAACTCCCAAGATGCTTTGCATGCATTTAGAATGACAAAGCATGGCAAAGCAACATGGAAGCTGTAGATTTAAAACATCTGGGGATCTACCTTTTGGCCACCCCTGATTTAAATGTTGTGGAACATGGTAACTGGCATTCAAAATATCTTAAATGTGCTATGAAAAAAAAGCATGAGTCCCTGGGACAAAGACAATTTTTCAGGATAGGTGACAAGTATGCACTTGGCATAATGGGCACAATGGCAGCTAGATTAAAATGTATTTCTTCAGATATCTCAAAAGTAGTGCTGGCCAATCCAGAACATGTATATTATTTGTGTCTTCTTTACCATTGCGACACCTGCTGAATCAAGATATTTTTTTATGGTCATCCATTCACATAGTTACGGTCATAGTGTGACACATGCTGGTAAGAAGGGGTTGGGAGTGTGTTATTGTCGAAAAAAAATGACTTTTGACATGTAGTGTCTGATGAACTCTGAAAACTTTAGCTGCCAACAATCGTCTTGTGAGGTTTGTAAGCTACATCCATGCTTTAAAATACTACATACCATTTTTTATTTATTTTATTTTTTTAATATATTATCACTGTTACTAAGTTATATTTGCATGTACACTAGTAAGATTGGCCTCGCATTGGACATGGCCAAATACAGGCAAATGGTTAATCTAGTAAATGGGCAAAGATCACAACAGGCAGCTGCAAAGTCATAGCTGTGTTCAAGGTGATGAGCAGAAATTCCAGTGAATAAGATAAATGGGCAGAGGCTAGGGGAGCAGTACAAGGCACAGAAAAGATAAGACAGACATTGCTCCGGTCAATACTAATTACTGTAAAGGCATCCCTTCTTCCCTTGTGTGCACACGCTTCACTGCTTCACGGTGAACATAACAAAGATGAAACCTTATTCAGATAATGCTTTTTTTGGCAAGAATGCCCACACAGCATTTGTAGCTGGTTTCTCTAGCCACCAATGTTGCTGCATTTAATGTCCTTTGCGTCATTCTACTTTGCCAACCCCTTGTGCTTTCATTCTGGTATCTCCGCATACAGCAATTTGTAGATAACGCGTCTGTTCTACAATCAGCTTGACAAGTCCCCATATTTATTTGCTAAGATAGGCGTGTTTATATGGCCTTGGAAATTTAACTATAATTTTGAGTGTGCACTGTTTCCTTAATGTGTATTATGGGTACACGTTCTGTCACTTAGTCCGGTTGCATAATATGCATGGTCGAGTGGTGCAAGCTCTGATTTGTGGCATTGCACAATTTTGCAGAAATTATGTTGGATGTGTCACAGGTAAATTTATTTGAGTGGTGGTGTGTCAACACTGCGCTGTATGGACAAATCGATGGTGAGACATGCAATATGTGCGTTGTAAGGTGCATCACTTGAATGCTGTGCTTATAAAAATACGTAGACATTTTTCAGTAATAGCGGAGTATGTGATGAATTTATTCTGAATTTTTATATAGTTATATTAAGTATTTTCCTGGTTGCATATAGTAGAATTTCTAATTTTTGTAAATATTTTGCAGGGAGCATTAACAATACAAAGGTGCACATTGTAACCATAAACTTGTACAAGAAGATCAAATTGAAATTGGGAAACATTAGTGATGAATATTATTAGTAAAGTCTGATCTCTATATGTTGCATAATATTTCTTCCAATCCAGAACTCATTTTATTTTAAGTACGTGACTCTTTCCGGATTACGAACGTATCTGTATCTCCACAGCATGTTTATTTTTACTTTGCTAAAAATACATTTAACCTTTTCTTACAATATTGGCTGCCTTTAGCAAGCGGGGAATTTCGTGTATTAACAGTATCAAATCCTTTCCTATCCCAAAGGTGAAATCCCCTGCCTTCTAATAACACGGCAAGACCTTGTGTCTGATTCCACAGACCTAGTAATAAAAGAATCCAGAAGTTTAGCAATTTTGAACAAATAAAATAACCATGAGTTCTCAAAAGCTCTTGTCAACCTAATGTAAACAAGTAAAAACAAAATGATCAGTGATTTCAGAGAGATTTAGAAATACAAACAAACTGCAAGAATTGAAAAACGCGTTATTTATTAATTATGTGGCATTCAGCTGGATCCCATTGCACAGCGCTACGGAATCTGTTGGCGCTACAGAAATAATAAACTAATAATGTATAACTTACGTTTGTTATAGTATTAAAAACATACAGTGCATTAAAATTCATCAGTCTGTTTGAAATTCCCATGATACAGTCACCAAATGTATTGAGTGTACCTCTAATAGTTTAGATGCGCAGCTAAACATGTGGACAATAGTCTTAAAGGACAGGCCCTGTTGCAGAGGACTGAATCTGAAACAATCTCAATAGAAACTGCCAGAATATTCATTTTAATTACTTCAAATGTCTTTTCGTCCTAAAACAATACGTATCAATATCTTTCTTTTAAATTGTTTGTGGGGAGAAAACGGCATTTTAATGTGTTAAAAGTGAGCATTCATCACAGACTCATTTCTCTTGTTATCCTCCTTCTCCCTCCCTTTCCTCCTCTTGCATCTCCTGTTCCACCTTCCTTCTGCATCTTACTTGTGTTTCTCTTATTAACCAAGACCTCTTTAACCCCTTAAGGACACAGGACATGTGTGACATGTCATGATTCCCTTTTATTCCAGAAGTTTGGTCCTTAAGGGGTTTAAAAAAAACAAAAACTTACTTTCAGAGAGAGGAACATCCCACAGTCCATTATCTTTGAATACAAATACAAAGAAACAAGTCCTGCGCTCAAACTCCCATTACTCCTGGGCGGCAGCAATGTCCATAGCACACATCAGCCAAAATACATATAGTAAAAACCAAAGTTCTTTGGTTTTTACATTATCTTTGAATGCCAACGAACCGGTTGGCTAAGACCGTGTTTTTCCAGCCTGTACTAAGCTGGAGACCACCTTTCACATATTTGTAAAGCTGTGACTAAACATACACTCTATGATCCCAAAAAGACAAAAATGTGTATATATTGGTAGACCTATTGCTACTGATCTCTCTCTCTCTCTCTCTCTCTCTCTCTCTTTGTCATTCATTAATCGCTGTTGTCCTTTATGTACCACTTCTCTCTGAGATTAAATAAAGAATGGTAATAAATGAAAAAGTAAGCAGTCATCAAGAGCATTCCATTAGTTTCCACGGTGATAGCTACACTTTTAGAACTTTGTCTCTGCCTTTAATTTTATACTCTGTAATCTACCCGTGCTGTTAATCTTACTGGTAACCCTGTGTGTTCCTTTAATTTGCAGTTCTCTGTTTAGTAAATAAACCCAACTTTTGTACCACAGAGGAATATGAGTTTATAACATCACCTGATTACACTATTTGTGCTGCATTAGACAGTTACAATTGTATGTCAACATTGTTGTTTATAATTAATTACAGGACCTGTATCCTGAACGTGCCCGAAATGCAACAGACTCTCCACACTCTGATCCTGGACTTGGGTGCCCTGCAAGATCTGTTTTCTCCTCACCGATACTATATGGGTATTTAGATTCCCCCTATGACCTGAGCAGAAGTACACTCAAGGGATACCCAGATTATAGAATGGCATCCAGATCACACTGTGACGCGTCAAACTCAAGTTCGAGTGGCAGAGACTCAAAGTGTTTCAGCAAATTTCAGGACAATCTGAAGGCGACATACAGTGGAGATCTGTTAGACAAACACGCAGAACAATTCAAAAACGCTTCACGCCCATTCACACCACGCACCTTGAAGACAGAAGCGAAGTCGGTCCTTTCACAGTATCGCTATTATACCCCACCAAGAAGAAAAATTAAAAGCAGTGTGAAGGAGGCAGATACCCAGACAAATATGAACAGGTATGGAGTAGTGGTATAAAAATGTTTTTAGTGCCATTTATCTCCACTAGGGAGGTGAAAAGGGTTCAATTAATATTGACCATAAAAGCACTACTGAATAACAACTTTGTCTAGTGAATTTTGAATGCACAAATACTTCATTAATACTTGCCACTCCGACAAAATGTTGGCAGTCCTGCCTTTGTTCTGTCCATCAGCATGTGGAAATGATGAGTCCTATAAAATATTGTAAATTTGACGGTAGTACGTGTTCTGATTTATGAATGTCCTGGGGTTAAAGACCATGAGGGTAGAGTGTATACCAGGTGAGTCTAGGTTATGATTGGCCATGTTTGTATGTTGGTGGAGTTAAAGGATAACACATCTACTTGCCTCTTATGTATGGAAATCTGCAAGAGTAAGTTAGCTTAGCTCACAAAGCCATCTAGTACTAAATTGGTCAATTTAGGTAAATGCAAACCTGTACTCCTAACGTTTTAGTGTCCTTAGTTTTGTACGTGCCCCCTTGTTTAACTTTACTCTTTCAAGTGCCGGGTCTCCAACTGCTCTGGCTAGGTCTGCTCCTCCCGCAATGTCACTCCAATGATGGGACCTAATGCGCATGCATGATGAGTGTCATGCGCACATTGAAACTTCCTAATAGAAAGCATTGAATCAGTGCTTTCCATGGGGAATATGCAAAGTGCGAGGACATCCAGCATTGGGCGGTGGTGTAAAACTCCGCTAGGGACCCAGAAGAGTCTCTAGTGGTTGTGCGGAAGAGAGCCACTAGAGGTGGAGTTAACCTTGCAATGTAATCACTACAATGTCTCAGAAAATGCAATGTTTTACATTGCATGGTTAAACAGACCAGGGCACTGCACCCAGATCACTTCAATTATATGAAATGGTCCGAGTGTCAATCGTGTCCCTTGAACACTCCACTTTTATTTTCATTTATTTGATTCTTTTTTGTGCACAGTGAAATGGTTTGGGGTGTAGTGCAGTCAAGTGTGAAATAGCTATATTTATATATGGTATAATATAGTTCGACCCCACGTGGGAATGCCAAAAGACCACAGTTTCACGCTCCAAGAAAATAAAATGTCTTCATTTTAAAAACACACAAGCTGGAGATCAAGGGAGGGATCACCACACTGGGAATGCTGTTTTGTGTGTCTAATTCTTCATCTGAGACTTTAACATTCAATTTTTTTTAATTTTTCTGCACAGAATGGCATCCGAGAAACCAGCTTCACCATTAAGCGGAGACATGGTAAGACCAGAGTTGAAGGTCACCTGACTTTATTAGTGTCGTGTGAGATGTTAGGAGGAATTGCATCTCCATGTTCCATGTGGTTAACTTGGAGCCTGTTGTCCCCTATTTTTTTGTTTTTTAGGTTGTTTTTTAAAATTAGTTCATTAATGAATGCACCCATTTGTCCACTGGCTCCTTGTGCATCCAGTAAGCAAATATTACCGATTTCTGTATTTCGTTTTTTTCTTTCCAAATCTCATACTGTGAGTTGGATTCGAACCACTTTTCTGCTAATGTTTTTTTGCTAGACATTGATATTTTCTAAATCTGATGTGCGTCCAAATTTTGCTTATCCGAAGTATGTTTGAACTGCAGAGAATAAGCCGTTATTGAATGATTTGACAGTCAAGCCAATACTGATTGCATCTCTCAATATCATAGGAAGGAGAATATGAAGATCCTCTTCTTGAAGACGGTTTAGGAGCCAGTTCCCAGTTTTCTGAGGACGATACAGAGTGGGACCAACAAGTGAACCATCCACATTCCCCATCACGGTACAGGCTGCATAATAACACAATCATATTGGGTTCTATTTTTATTTCATTTTAGATTAACCCTAATTTGAACATTATTCCTACTCCCCTTATTTTCAGCAAGGTCCTCTTTCCATACAGTTAAAGGAACACTATAGTCACCTAAATTACTTTAGCTAAATAAAGCAGTTTTAGTGTATATATCATTCCCCTGCAATTTCACTGCTCAATTCACTGTCATTTAGGAGTTAAATCACTTTGTTTCTGTTTATGCAGCCCTAGCCACACCTCCCCTGGCTATGACTGACAGAGCCTGCATGAAAAAAAAACTAGTTTACTTTCAAACAGATGTAATTTAGCTTAAATAATTGTATCTCAATCTCTAAATTGAACTTTAATCACGTACAGGAGGTTCTTGCAGGGTCTAGCAAGCTATTGTTATAAGTTGTTCAGGTGACTATAGTGTCCCTTTAATACTCAGCAGGAGACCATGCTTTCCATCTTAGATAGGTCCTGTTTGATAATTTCTTGCTGCAGGTTATTTCTTTTTTATGATCATATGTACTCCACTGATTCATTTTTCAGGATTCTTGTAAACAGCCTGATTCATTGTCCAGCTTGATGTAGTTTGTGTGAAATCCATTATGGACGTGAGATTGCTAATCTGATTCTGTGGTCCAGTTGGATGTCCACATGCCCTAACCTTCCAAATGAATGAATTCACATCAAAATGATTTAGGTCTTTTGTTAGAGCAATGGTGGCTTCATTGTTTTAGGGAAAGCAAAACAAAGAGTAGAGTCAGCGCTAATCGGTTTAGGCAGCAGTCCCAGAAAAGGCAGCAGTCCCAGACAAGGACTCCCTCAAATGTCCTTGGAATAGATAGGCAAAAGCAGATAAATAGGGGATGGGTCTGCGCCAATATACAAAATAAGTTACAATAACAAGTCCTGAATGGGATAGTAAATTCAGTAGAGTAGAGTATTGGATCTTATATTTGGTCTCCGAAGTTGTAAGGTTCTACTTGTTGCGGTATCCAAAAATGTGGAGGACGGTGGTGGGTGATGAGACAGATGATCCAAATAGTAAAAATAGGAGAGGTCTTACTTACAGTTGACAGAGCTTAATCCAGCTCTGGTGTGAATGGCTTGCAGCGGTATTATCCCTGCTTACAGGATATACGGCGAGTATCCTCTTCTATGCAGTGCCAGACAGCCAAGTGGGAGATAAAAATGGAAACAATAATGGTGCAGTATGTTCCACACGTGAAATAAAACATGTTAAAATATAGTAGATACACTCACATTCGGTAGAGCTTCTGCTAACTCTAGTGTTGTAGGCATACAGCGGTATAATCCCCGCTTGTAGGATATAAGATGAGTGTTCTTGAAGGTAGTATCAGGAGCTCGGAGAGAAGATAAAACAGCGATAGTGCTCTCAATAAAATATTGTTGTATAAAATATAATAAAATATACTCACAGTTTATAGGGCAGGCTAACTGCTCTATGACAAAGGCGTAGGTGGTATAATCCCCACCTGGGATTCTTTGGAGTATAATACCAGGAAATAAAATAAATAAAAGGAAAATAAAAAAAGTATAAAAAAGATAGATATAACTTATAAGATACATGTAGTGTGATTTTAATATAAAAACGAGCGTTATTAAATGAGAATTTTAATATTTTCGGCCGGAACACGTCATGAGCGCGACCTCACTTCCGGCCACACGGTATTATGGGACATGTAGTCAGGAAGCGAACTACATGTGTGTAGTTTCGCTGGCAGTAGGATAAAGCCCTACATTGGGCTAATAGAGAAGGGTGAGTGGCCGAGGACCGGAAGAGGGGAGTGGCCGAGGGTCGGCTGGAAAAGGGGCTGATGGGGAAGGAGATGATGGCGGCGGCCATCTTGGTTGGGGAATTCAAAGCTCGGTCAGACCACTTCAACAGTAAGTGTCCCTAGGCAAGATACCTAACTGTATACAGTTGTGCTCAAAAGTTTGCATACCCTTTGAATATTGGTACCATTTTTAAATATGTACCATTTTTAAAGAAATACAAAAAAAACAAGTCCTGTGCTCAACCTCCCATCACTCCTGGGCTGCAGCCACGACCATAGTACACATCAGCCCCAATACATACAGTAAAAACCAAAGAAAGTTACCTGTGCTGTTCCCATATCCCTATGCATATTTAAACAAATAGAGGTTATTTAGTTTCTCCAATGGCCCTGAGAGGGTATGCCCACCTGCCACATCAAGGCAGACCTCTTAGGGTGGGTCCTAACTCTAACCATTCACCTTGCTTCCTTAAGCTTCTGGCAAAAATATCTCTAATGAGACAGAAAGGGGTATTTTTTTATATACACCCCTACATGCTTATTAACCCTTAATATTAAACACATTGGATGGGCGGCAGCATTGTAACATAGCTGTGTGATACAAAAGTGAATACAAATTAAAGAAAACCTGAGTGAGCAGGCAAAACACATTTCTTTTATTTCTTATGGGATTCATGTTCAACTGTAGGCTATAACAGAATGGCACAGTCCTTAAACAAAACATGGCAACAAAGAAAAAAATGTAATAATCCATGTTCAAAAATCTGCATACCCTTAGTTCTCAATACTGTGCATTGCCACCTTTAGCATTAATGACGGAGTGCAGTCTTTTTTAATAGTTGTCTATGAGGCCCCTAATTCTTGCAGGTGGTATAGCTGCCAATTTGTTTTGGCAAAATACCTCCAGATCATGGTCGTCTTGCATGAACCGCACGTTTGAGAGCTCATTTTTGTTCAAGTATCATCGTATTGTGGTCCTTGAAGCAACCACACCATCTTTTTCCTGAGCAGCCTGTATTTCTCCTGAGGTTACCTGTGGGTTTTTCTTTGTATCCCAAGCAATTCTTCTGGCAGTTGTGGCTGAGTTCTTTCTTGGTCTACCTGACCTTGGCTTGGTATCAAGAGACCCCCGAATTTTCCACTTCTTAATAAGTGATTGAACAGTACTGACTGGCGTTTCCAAGGCTTTGGATATCTTTTTATATTCTTTTTCATCGAGTTCCATTCCCTTGTTACGCAAGTTTTTTGACAGTTCTTTTCTGCTTTCCATGGCTCTGTGTCTAACCTGCTCAGTGCATCCACATGAGAGCTAACAAACTCATTGACTATTTATACACAGCCACTAATTGCAATTTAAAAAGCCACAAGTGTGGGAAATTAACCTTTAATTCCCATTTTAACCAGTGTGTCACCTTGTGTATCTGTAACAAGGCCAAACATTCAAGGGTATGTAAACTTTTGATCAGTGCCATTTCAGTGATTTGTTATTATGATTTAGAAAGCAGCCAAACAGCTACGTGATAATAAATGGCTTCATATACTCACTATCCTTCAATAAAAGACCTTTTGTTTGCATGGTCAGTCATATTTTCAAAATCAATGCCACAATCATATCCCCTTTCTATAATTGTAAAGCGCTGTGGACTATGTTGGCGCTATATGAATGCTAACAATAAATAAAAATGTTTTCAATTTAAAATTATGTACTGATTTACAGTCTTAGATGTACATAAGGTCTAGTTATTCTGCCAAACACAGCCCTAGCTAATCAGCATCTACTCATAGAGATACATCGAATCCATGCATCTCTGTGAGGAAAGTTCAGTGTGTGCATGCAGAGGGTGGAGACACTGAATATCAGTGCTGCACATTGTGCACCACTGCCCCAGGAAGACACTCTAGCAGCCATATGGGGAGTGGCCAGTGGAAGTATCCCTAGGCTGTAATGTAAACACTGCATTTTCTCTGAAAAGACAGTGTTTACTGAAAAAAGCCTGAAGGGATTGATTATACTCACCAGAACAAATACAATAAGCTGTAGTTGTTCTGGTGACTATAGTGTCCCTTTAATGTGAGTGATTACACGTATTTTTTACAAATCTAGTTTGTGTTTCTTTCAATAGGCTGTCTTCTGAAATGAACTCACCATCTCCTGTTATGCGGAAGATCCGTTCTCAGTAAGTACTATTTAATTTACCAGTTTGTAAAAAATAAAATGTACTCCCTTGTATTTGGAACACTCTGAAGCCAATATCTTAAAGTCATTGGGGTCCATGGTAAAAACATTCTATAGTCGTGGAAAACCGATCCTATGTAAGCGCGGGAACACATTCTCTTTGTGATTCACACCATTTAGACGTATTCTTACTCTGTTTTAATGGAGCTACACCTACACAATGCTCACTGACTGAGTTCACTGGTTTGTTAAAATATCTCAGACAGAGCTTCCTTTTTATTAGTCTTTACATCAGAGACGTTATATTCCTGGATGTTTAAGAATGTGTTTTTTTTGTATTTAATATATATTTGTGTAATTGTATTTGTGTGTGTGTGTGTGATGAGGGCTTTAATGGCCAAACATTAAGAGGAAGGTTTATCAAGGCAAAAAATGCTTCCATTCAGGGAAAAGTGGTAAATAAGGACCAGTCACCATCGTTTGAGCAGGGTCTCCAACTACCTGTTGTTCCTGTTACATTTTGTTATTGTCTCATTTGGTAAATTCCCCCCTTATTGTAAAGCGCATGCTATATAAATACCAATAAAAATAATAATTAAATGAAATGGTTATACATACAGTGTACCTTTTAAAGCAGTGGTTCCCAAACCAGCCCTGCAACAATCCAAAATGTATGTATTTCCCTTTTTGTGCATGTCAATTGGTAGAAGCACCAAATAGAAAGTGCTGCCTGGTTCTAGTTACAACAGACAATACTAATCTTTTTGTCAAACATTTAAGTGAGGGAACACTTCGGAAATGGGGGTCACAATATGGTGTCTTTTGAAATAAACTCAAAAAAGAAAATGCATTTTGCATAGGCATTCCATTCTAACCTTTTTCCACAATTAACCTCTTTGGACTAACAATGCCCTACTGGGCATTGCTATTAGGCCCCCCTGTTCCCTGAATATTAAATATAATGTCGAAACATAGCTTGAATCTAGCGCCAGGCAAAGCTCCTCCAGTGATCGAAACACATGCTTCTTACAGAGAAACCTGCGAGTGTATGGTTACGCTGGCTCACCAGGCTACCTATGTCACATGTGCTGGGGGTGTAACACGCCCCTGGCACACAATAAAAGCTGAATACTGAATGTACAGTGTTTGAAGCAGAAACACTGCATATCCAGGTCTCTGCCTTCATGGCAGGAAAGAATGGCTTGTTTATTTACCATCATTCCCTGCCAGGTGTTTAAGCACCTGATCGAGACTGCAACCCGGCATGGTATTGGTCCTGAAGGAACTATTTTTGGTATTTTGACAAATCTTCCTGTAACAATGAATTTAAATGTAAAATGTTGCCTGAAGCTGTCGTGCTTGGGCCTGGATGTCAATTCGGCTGCAATATGTGCATGTGCAACTTTAGGTGTGTGTGAGTCAGAAGGAATATAATCAAAAATGTGATTTTTATCTTTATTTTATTGTCTTACAGAGAAGAGGAACTTGCTTATCTGAAATTTGTAACCAACGTTACCACTGAAATCCTGGCTCTTGGATTGTTTTCAGACAGGTTAGATCCATGTAATTGAGAATGATTCTATCAAGGACACAGTTAGTTCTGAATGACTATCCCTGACATGTCTAGCATAATGTACTATTGTAATAATTCTGTTTGACAGGATGCCAGTGGAATTGTATTTTAGGTATTACTATAGCCGCTTCCATCTGCGGAATCCATAATGTTTCATATCCATGTAACGTATTCACTCCCTCCAAAAAAATACTTCATAAAGTTGCAATCTTTAGGAAATAGAATCTTTATGAAATTTGCAGATTGACTGTGTTGAAATTTTACTGAAATTCTAACCCAGTCATAAGATATACTGAGACAAAGTAGGGATGCTATTTTTATTTATTTATTACTGGCATTTATAAAGTGCCAACATATTCCGCAGCGATGTACGATTGGGAAAAATCCAATACCGTATAAACAGACCAATACAAAAGGTAGAGGGCCTTGCCCGTCAGCTTACAATGTAAAGGATAAACGGGGGGAGATGAGATAAGTGGTAGCAGAGGAATTTGGAGGTGATGATAGAGAGATTTAATCGAATAATTCTAGTAACTGATAACATGTGAAAGGAATGAGGAGGTGATTGACTGTGGTTCCAATCAGCTGGAAGTGCATGCTAAAGAGTTAAAAGGAACCAGGGCAGGACAACTGAAGTGGCTTTGTTGCAGAGATTCATGTGGGTTGGGTACAGTACTGATGTGATCTTATGTGGGCTCATGGCAGCTTAAATGCAGAGCTGGAGAAGAGCATCAGAAAGAGGATGGCGGCACCTTTGAGGGACAGGTTCAGTTAAGTAAATCTCACCTTTGCCGGCCAGCAATGTCCCCGTTGTGGTCTTTGCAAATTATGCAAAGACCCCAGATCATGACAGATTTGCTTTAATGTTGTTAAATTATGTATACAGTTTGCACACTTATACAAAAATGTGTTACATTTCACCTGTGGGCTGATTACAAAGCATTAGACTGGCTTGGCATCATGGGAAATGTTTGTAGCCTAGATCCATACAGGGTATTCATTTTGATTAAGATCGTGGTATGTTGCAGAAGGTATACAATAATGTGTTGCTTTTTTTATTCATGTATGTGGTTTTTTTTGTTGTTGTTTTTTTTTATGTCCAATAAATGTCCATTATAGGACCAGGAAAGAAGTCACGGTTATTGTTCTTTATTTCTGTTTGCTTTTTTTTCTGTCCAGGGTTTTAGATCGTGTGTTTGAACGCCATATTGAGGAAAACAGGCACCGTTTGGATGAGGTAAAATCTTTGTGATGTACCGTATATACTCGAGTATAAGTCGAGTTTTTCAGCACATTTTCTGTGCTGAAAACCCCCACTCGACTTATACTCGAGTCAATGTCTGTATTATAGCAACTTATGTAATGAGCCCGGCGGTCCTGGTCTGTATTATGGCAACGTAAGTTGCTATAATACAGACATTGACTCAAGTATAAGTCGAGTGGGGGGTTTTCAGCACAAAAAATGTTGGGGGCTGGCAGCGAGCTGTAACTTACCTTTCCTGCAACTCCTGTCAGCTCCCTTCTCTCTCCTCCGGTCCGTCAGCTCCACTGTAAGTCTCGCAAGAGCTGCAGGGTCAGAGCGTTGCCACTTAGAGGGGAGACTTACAGGGGAGCTGACCGGACCGGAGGAGAGAGAAGGGAGCTGACAGGAGCTGCAGGAAAGGTAAGTTACACCTCTCTGCCAGCCCATCCACTGGACCACCAGGGAATGAGAGCCCCTCTCCCTGGCCAGGCAACAAGCAGGGAGGGGGGACGAATAAAAATTAAAATAATAATAAAATATTAATAATATAAAATAAAAGAAATTAAAATAAAATATTAATAATATAACAAAAAAATATTATAATAATAATTTTTTAAAAATAATAAAAATGCCCACCCCCCACCAAGGCTCTGCATCACATACACAAACACACTCTGCATCACACACTGCATTCATACACACACTACATACACACACACACTGCACTCATACACACACTGCACTCACACACACACTGCATGCATATACACACACACACACACTGCATTCATACACACACACACACACACTGCACTCATACACATAGACACACTATAAATAAATATTCAGTTAATATAATTTTTGGGGGATATAATTTTATCTAGAAATTTACCAGGAGCTGATGCATTTCCCACCCTAGTCTTATACTCGAGTCAATAAGTTTTCCCAGTTTTTTGGGGTAAAAGTAGGGGTCTTGACTTATATTCGGGTCGACTTATACGCGAGTATATACGGTACATATATATGCTTTAGTTAACACAAATTCTTGTTTTTTTAAGGAAATTAAAATTGTTGTTTCATTTTTGCTCATATTATTAATCCACTTTTTGGATTTGAGAACCCATTCTATTTATTGTTACCCATTTGTACTATCTATGTAGTTTTTGATAGCTAGATTGTTTACGTTAAATTTATTTTGACCTACAGTCTTTTTCTGTTTCTTATTATTCTTTCCCATTACGAAGCCACAGGCACATGGCCTTTATATATATATATATATATATTGATTTTAGATCAATACATTGTACAAAGCACCTAAATTCTAAATCATTTTTACGGTTTATCTCCAGGGTAAAATGCGGCACCTGTTGGAGACACTCAAGGAAGACTTGGATGACAAACAAGCTCATCGCAGAACTAAGACCAATGATATGCTTGCTACCTCATCAAGTGATTACTCAGGGAAAAAGCTACATTCCAGCGAATCACTTTCCATTCCTCAGAATTTCCTTTTGGAACCGCGGAATGTAACTTACCGGGATGAAGAAGATTCAGATGACCTGCTTCATGATGAACCAGAGAAGTGTGATGACTCTGCTGAGGAAGACCCAAGTCGTGGTGTCTTAGACTCGATCAATAGTGCTTTGGGCTCGCTAAATTATGAAGATCATTTGGAGAAAACGGACACGTCGCTGGACCTTCATGACCTAGAAGAACAATTTTCCAAAGTAGTTAAAGTGTCCATGGCTGAAGATCCATCTGTGCCTGAAGAGGTGGATGGAAATGCAGATCATGAAGACGTAGTTATAGATCAATTAATTGCCAATGAGTTGTGAAAATAAATTTAGACAGAAATCCAGTGACCGTAAGGTTTACTATTCACACTATATAGTTAATCTACAGGTATTTAAAATAGGGCTTTCAAACCTATGACTGCTTCAGGGACAAGCCATTCATTTCGAACTTCTGGTCACTTAAAGGGCTACACACATAAACACTTTTATTTAATGTTCAGAAAGTTCACAATAAACAGGAAAAGGTAGTGGATTAATTAAATGTTTTATGAGCCATTTTTTAAAGCAGTCCTTCTAGATGACAATGCTAGTTCGAAGACCTTTTACAATTTGCCCTCTGGCACATGGTAATTATTTATGCTTGGGCAACCTGTGCGTCAAGTGACCGATTATAGCAAACACACCTTGGAGCAATACCCACAGAGCTGACACTGAGAAAATACACGTTCCCTGTAAGGTGAATAGTGCAGAGCTGAAATTATTTAAAAAGATATTTAAAATAAAAAAGGAAACATGAAAGGAAAAAAAAAACCTCTCCTGCATTAATAATTAATGCTCTGTGGAAGAGAAAAAAAATCCCCAGCAGGAGATATGGATTCATCTTGTACTCTTTCACTATGATATTTTTTATGTTTTATTTTTATAATATCTTTTCATAAGAAGCCCATGTTTAACAATTTCTGTAGTGGACTTCTCACCTTAGAGGGAGCACTTTTTCAGTCTATTTAAGTCAAAGGTGCCCAAAAGGTAGATCGCCAGATGTTTTAAAACTACAGCTTTCATGATGCTTTGTCATTCTAAAGGTATTTGATAGACATGCAATGCATCATGGGAGTTGTAGTTCTACAACATCTGGGGATCTACATTTTGGGCACTCCTGCTGTAAGTGAATATACATGTAAATGTAATCTTTTTTTAATATAATCCCTACCTTCTTTCTGCTAGAAGTATTGTTTTGTTTTACATTTTTTATATGAATAACCTTTCCCATAATACTTCTTTTCAGGCCTTGCCAGATGTCTTTAACTATATTGCGTGGGTAGGTGGCAGCACTAATAAGGTTTTCTAATGAACTTCATTTAAACATCTGTATTGGCCTTGAACCTACTTAGACAATTTAAAGGGGAACCGTCATACCCTGGGAGTTTTAGTGTTATGTTTACTTATTGCCTATATTTAACAAAAATGTATGTTGTGGTTTAAAAAATAAAACTGACAGTAGAAATACATACCACAATATTTACTTCTGTCCTGGAATTGAGTGCCTCCATCTTTGCTCCCTGTTGGTCTTTGTTAAAAACCCTGTCCTTTGCACCTGTCAGTCATCACAGATATATATCCTCCAATGTGTGCCTGGATTGCGATATCAATTGCTAAATCTTTAATATACATTAGAAAGAAACCTAATCCTCACTTAAAAAGTTAACGTGACTGTAGGTGGTTTTCGATAATCCACACAGGAAAAGGAAGTCACACTTTTATATAAAGACCTAGGTGCTCTAGATCTGAGAAATGCAAACCCCAGTACGATATGTCAAGAAATAAATATGATCAAGGGCACTGAAGGTCTATCTTCTTTTTTTTTAAATTCTTTATTTTTGCAGTGCATAGTTTAGTAAACAAGCTCACAGTGACATTTTTAAACAAAAATATACATTGATATACATTGAGGTTGAGAGCAAGATTGTCGTAAAATGTCAACAGTTCAGCACTTTTTGTTTTTTAATAACATGGGAAAACAATGATGAAAACTGTACAGTGCCTATGAATGATAATAGAACAAGGTTGGTTATAGCGAGTGCATGTCTTAGGCACTTATATTGAATGCCACTATTAATAACAAGCTTAGTCAAAGATAGGCTAATAGACAACAATACTGTGTAGTGTAACATGCTAAACTAAATATGCGCCTAGCCAAACTAGTTGCGCTTAAGGTTATAGGTGTAAAACTGTGCATTAGTGAGGCTAGGAGCTTTTATGCTTAATGAACCAGTTGCACGTATTTAAGTGTAGAGATAAACCAACAGTTTTACCGCCAGTTTGAAACCAGCTTGGAGTACCACATTAAATAGGACCAGCTAGGGAAGTTATACAGATGCGGGTGCGGGAGACACACACAAGATGTCATTGCCCAAAAAAGAGAAAACTTTGCAAGGGGTGAAAACAACGGCATATCATATGTTGTCACGTTACTTTTAGCCAGGGTGTAGAGGGCAGTTCTTGCGATATGAGGGATGGTGAAAAAGTCCAGCTAGTGCGAGAAATGCCTAAAAAACATTAGGTTAGACAGCTGCAGTATATGTGTGTGTACAACCCCTTTAGGTTGGTCTGAGTGGGTCATGTGTGGAAGTCCCCGCAGTGGCAACTGTTGTCCGTGGTTAGTCCCGTAATGGCAGTACAGCTTTAGGCAGCGGGCCTGAGTTCAGCCTATCCCCAAGGCTGGGAAGTGTAAGTCCTGAGTGATGAGGGCGAAGGTGACTGTAGCACTTGGATGGTTCTGTTGGGCGTCCTTCCAGCCCCGGGCCGGTTGATAGGCCAGCACCTTCGTGCCACGGACTTGGGGGCTCCTGAGGTCCCAGTCCTCCGCTCTGGGGGGTAGGCAGGAGGTTGTGGAGGTTGGTGGCCGCACGTGGCGGGTGGACCTCCGCCTGTGTGGACGGTGCCGTGGGGTTCTGCCCCTGGTGGCCCTCGGCCTAGGTGATCTCTTAGTGTGAGGAGGTACGTGTGTTTTGGAAACATGAATGATCGAAGGGGGCTCACTCACCATCCGGTTCTCAGCCTCCCGGTCGGCCTCCTGATGTTGGAGCTTTACTGCTTCTTGTCGTGCCTCCAGCGTGGCCCAGAAGCGGGTGAAGAGTTCATCCAGCCTCCTTTGGGTGATCTGTGCCGAGTTTAGAGGCTCCGGCTCGGAGTGCTGGGAGTTTGCTCCTTGCATGGTAAGCTGGGCCGCCATTTTGTGTGATTCTGCAGTAGATGTATCTTAGTCACTTAGGGTGATTAAAGTCGCTTGGCGCCAGGTTCAGGCTAGGAAGGACCGGGATATCCCCCGCCGGTCCAGAGGGGGGGGAACAGGGCTGTTTTGCAAGCTTGGGAGGACACTAGGTCGCACAGAGCGGGGGATCGGCCGCCTCACCCGTCCGGCGATACTGCTAGGCCGCACTCCCGACACCCTCGATAGAAGCTCCGTGTACCCGCGGGCGGGAGACCCGGGGCACTTTGGCTGGCTCCTGAGGTAGGTATGTCTTTGTTTAGGCGTTTGTGTGGGTCCTGGCTGGCTGGCGTGCAGTTAGTCAGGCTGTGCAGGTAGATTGAGCTCGGAGCTCACACGAGGCACGTCCAGCCAACATGAAATCCAGGCCCCGCCCCCCTGAAGGTCTATCTTCAAGCACTTTTATTGGAACAAGAAAAACAACGTTTCGGCCTACGTAGATGTCTTCATCAAGCTTGATAAAGACATCTGTGTAGGCCGAAACTTATTTCTCATCCAATAAAACTGCTTGAAGATAGACCTTCAGTGCCCTTGACCATATTTATTTCTTGACAACATTTTATAATTTCCAGAAACTTGTCAGATCCTCATGATCTGTAGCAAAACTGCAGAGCTTTGAGAGTCTTGCAATGACCGTCTGCATTCCAAATGATTTGCCTGCATTGCATAAAAGATCAGAACTGCCCCTTTGACTGTCTAGCTGGTAATTCTCTCTACATTGACAGTTTATGCTGTATAATGACATTGAGGGTGTGCACATTTAATCAGGTACTTGTATGCCATTAATTCTAGATCTTCTCTTCTTCTTTCACCAATAGGCATCCAGACTCTCCATCCCCTTATTTATATTTTGCTGTAAATGGTATGCAAGCCATAGGATTAACAGGTGTGCCTTTAAAGGAACGTAGCAGCAATTTATTTTTATATTTATTATACAAACCGTTACCAGTTAAACACAAGTGCTACCCGTAGTGTTTTGAATGTAAGTAAATGTTACTTTAAATTAACCTGGAAACATTTAATCTGCATGATGCCTGGTCCTGGATTTTTTATGAAATGCTCATATTTCACCTGTAGTCAAAATGGGTGATGTCAGTGTGTGGCCTCATCAGTAGATCCCACACTCAATTCAACAGAATATGCTCATCTGTAACCTAGCAGCATGCTGGGAAATACTCTAAATTGTAGGAAGTAGGCTGAGCCTGGCTACTCACTGATCTTACCTCTCCATGGTGATTAACGCAGGCCAGATCACCCTGGCTGACCGAGTCTGCCATTCACACACTTGCAGGAAAGCTGAAGTGCTGTACTGTCATGGCAATGAAATTTATCTAGCAACACAAAGATGGAAACATACATGCTACATAAAGTAAAACAGATAAAACCTTTGTAACAGATCAATACTAGTTATATAAATATATATAAAATACATACACAACATTTTTACTCTCTAACTAACTTTTAACATCTGGCTTGTTTTAAAGGAACACAATAGTGTTAGGAATACAAATGTCGTATTCCTAAAACTATAGTGCCAAGATCTCAGAAATTGATGATCTCAGTCAATCCAATGATTTCCCATAGGAAAGCATTAGGAAGCTAGTGCGCATGCACAGCCTAATGGAATGCTCCACCAGTGAGATGGTCTCTATGAGCATTTGACTGAAGTAGTGGAGTATTCCTCCGCTATCTGGACTGATGCTCTTCCAGTGGCTGTCAGTATCACAGTCACTAGAGTCAAGTTAAAGGGACACTATAGTCACCCAGACCACTTCAGGTCAATTGAGAAATGCTTTCCTATGGACTGTTTGAATGCGCGCATTGCACTTGCCGCGCATGCGCATTCCGCTCCACTCGGGAGCTGACGTCGGCAGGGGAGGAGAGGTCACCAGCACCGAGGGAGCCCAGCGCTGGAATAAGGGAAACTGCTGAAGGGGTTTTAACCCCTTCAGCGCCATGGGAGGGGTACCGTGACATTATAGTGATCCTTTAAAGAGACACTGTAGCATTAGGAATACATATCTGCATTCCTAGTGGTATAATTTCTATACTGCCTGTTGGATTCAGAGCCCTGCTCGAAGGTAGTGTTCAAAAACCACATAAATGTTTTTACTCACATTATTTTCAGCTTTGAACATTCCTCGGCGCTGCAGTGGCTTCTCCTCGACTGTCATCCTGGAGGTTTTCGTACAGGATGATGGTTTGGTCCAATTCTCCTTGTAGAGGAGCACTGGCCACCACAGGTGCATGCACAGCACTCTTCACTGTGCGTCTATGATTATGCCACAGAGAATCTGAGGATTCTCTGTCAGACTGTGACGGTACTGCGCACGCACACATAATGTCACAGTATGATAGGGTATAAGAGCCGGTAAGTTACAGTACCTGCTCATCTACACAGAGGGCTAGAATGCTTGCCTTAAAGTTGTGCTTCTAAGCCTTATAATTATATTTTTTTAAAAAAAGGTTTTTTGTGAGCCTGGGACAGAGGGGGAACTATTGTAGGTACTATCATAACTTTATGTATACTAAGTTGTTATAGTAAGTACAGTGTTCCTTTAACCCTGCAATGTAAACATTGCCATTCCTGCAAAAAAGCATTGTTTTCAGATGCAAGGTTAAAATATATTTATTTTACATTAAATGCACTCATGCTGTGAATGGGCATTAGGACAATGCAGAGAGTGCTTTCTGCGTGGTCCTACAGGTTGAAAGCCGCTGAAACAAGCTTTCAGTCATTCTGGTGTGCTTGACGACAGGCTGGCATGCCCTTTCAAGGGGGCAGGCTACAGCATTTTCCACAAGGGCCTGCCCATTGGTTGTGCCACCAGTGATGCAAGTTGTATCCGTATTGACAACACCCCTCATAGCCCACCCTCCTGTCTGATCTCATACCTCCCAATGTTAAGAGGTATGCTCATATGCTATGTAACGGAGAAGTTAGATCCTTGTTTATTAAACATACAAAATGTAGGAACTAAAACTCTAAAAGGTCTATATTCTGCTAGAAAAGAAGATCTTGTTGGCTACAGCTACAGCTAATTGTATTCCTGGATAACACAAAAAGTGTTTTCCATTTCAGAATGTTTGTCTTGACAACAGAGAGGATTACTAATACTCACGGAAGTTTGGTGAATTGAATTGAAAGGTGCAGGCCAAAATAGATTATTTCAAAGTATTCCCCAATTCATATTAATATTTAGTTTATTATTATTTTTTTATTATTTAGTTTAATTCTGTGTTTGGTGATTGAACGCCAAAGTATGTGTCTAATCGTATTCCTAGAGAGTTCAAAGTAAATATCCTGGAAAAAAATATATATAATTTTCTTCCGAAAATACGTAAATGCTATCCTATTTATACCCAGAATTTCTGTGTAGTGTAGGGAATTAATTTACTGCTGTTCTAAATAAGAAAGTAGATTTGAATTTCAAAGACCTTCAGATATACAATTCTATTTTCAATGGGATATAGATTATGTGATATGTATAGATTGTATGCTTCAAACATTGACTCTTGAAAATGATTGTCAGTAAAATAAAACTTTGCATAATTTATGCTCATCTTTTGTTGATGGTTATTCCAAAAATCTAGGAATCCATTTCTAATTTCCATGAGGATGTAATATGATTGCAGAACTTTGATAAATTATACCTAGATATTGCTGTCACTCAATAGGAACAGGTATAAAACAATCTGGGAGACATGAGGTAAGACAATACTAAGTATTTACTTTAGTGAAAAGCACGAAAATAATTTTCTCATGAAATCGGTGTCAAAATGATTATCCTGCCACTAAATCGAAAAGCACCCCTTTCTAATATTTTCCAAAAACAATGAAGTCCAAAAAGTGAGACACATAAATTTTATATAAATGTCTCTTAACATCATTTTAAACGCATTATGAGTAATCACACCATATAAAGGATACAGGCCCTACTGCCTCCCTGGAGGTACTGAAAGAAATAGCATCCGGTATAACTAAAATAAACTCTAATACTTTGAGTGTTATGTAAGATGTCCAACCGCAAGAAAAGTGAACTTCAGGGCATGTTCTGTATTTGCTATGACTCTGTTGTCTATGCTTTTCATAACTTCGATAAAGCATTGATTGAGAGACAAAAAAAGTTCAGATAAATCAATAAATAGTTGGTCTTTGCATTAAGCTTTACGTGTTTTGTCTCAATAAGTTTACCTATAATATTTGTTTTCTTTCTCCTGTATATGCTTTGATCAACTTTGTAGATTATGTACATAAGGGATCAAAATTAGAATCTGTACTCTAATACTCAGGCCTAAAAGTTACTCAGCACTGCAAGTCTGGAATTATTAGGTTCATAGGGTTGTGTGTGATTTTATGTCTAAGAGGGCCTTCTAGATAAGATTATTTTTACATTATTGTTTTACTAGAAAGGTATCATACTAACAGGAAAACTAAAAGGTAAAAGTACTTTTAAATATTAATTCAGGAGTACAATTTAGTGCATCTCTTACGGTGCTACAGGCAGACGTCTACGGAACAAAGAAGACTTTATTTCCCTACAACCATACGTTTCTGCTCAGAAGCACATTTCCAACTGACCCAGGTTTAGTAAGTCCACCATAAATGTGTGGTCATGTCCTGCCATCTCGTGTTTGTTCCACTCTGAACCTGGCTATTTACATATGATTATAAAGAATTTTTTAAATCAAATAGAAACACTGCAAGATGGAATGTAGGGGCAGAAAAGGGTAAGCTCGCAGAACACATTTAATAAGTACTAGATTTGTATTAAAAAAGTTCAATACTAAGAGGAAGTGAAGCACCCAGGATAACTTACTGAAATCTAACCTACATATTGGACCAAAAACGTAAGTATAATCTGCTGCTCTTATAAATGTAGCATCTTTTTAAATGCTGCACAGACTTGCTAAAGTTATTAAAACAATAAAAAAAAAAAACTGGCTCGATATTTAACAGATTCATAGAGGACACTTCAAAATAGAGTTGGTCCTTCAGATCCCAGTGCCAGCGGTGATCACCCCCTCCTTTTCCTTGTTGCAACACTTTATTTACAGGACCGTCTCCCAGATTTAGCCAGAGATTTCCTTTGACACACGATGTAAGCTGACTTTGTTCTACTAATTCTTTATTGTTTGTGTATTGCAACTAAAACTGCATCTGCCAATTTCGTTCACACAGCAGATGCATACACATAACCCATGGGGCCCCGGTGAGAAACTGATTCATGGGGCCCAACCCGCTCCCTCCCTCTAGAGGTTTTGAGATTGGGATTCTGTTCTGTGGAGCGATTAAACAAAACTCTTTAGCCCAATGGATCAGCAGTATGTCTGAAGAATGAATCCTACAGTTAAGCATGGTGGTGGCTCAGTGATGCACTGGGGCTGCTTTCGCTTCCTCTGGCATTGGAAACCTGCAGCGTGTGGAAGGCATGATGCAGTGGCGTACACATAACCCATGGGGCCCCGGTGAGAAACTGATCCATGGGGCCCAACCCGCTCCCTCCCTCTTCATCCCCCCCCACTAACTCTCCCCCCAACAGAGACACATAGACAGACAGAGACATACATGCATACAGACAGACACACACAGACAGATACATACAAAGACACATACAGACAGACAGACACACACACACATAATATTTAAGTCACCCTCCTGTTTCCTACCTTTTAGGTGCAGAAGGGTGACTTTACCTGGGGTCCAGTGGTGACTCAGGCTGGTGGGAGTCAGAGTTTGCTGCCCAGACTTTGAAGTTATTAAAAAAAATTTTTTTTTTTTTTTAAAACTGGCTCAATATTTAACAGATTCTCATAGAGGACACTTAAAAAATAAAATAACACTTCAAAATAGAGTTGGTCCTTCAGATCCCAGTGCCAGCGGTGATCACCCCCTCCTTTTCCTTGTTGCAACACTTTATTTACAGGACCGTCTCCCAGATTGAGCCAGAGATTTCCTTTGACACACGATGTAAGCTGACTTTGTGCTACTAATTCTTTATTGTTCATGTATTGCAACTAAAACTGCATCTGCCAATTTCATTCACACATCTCTGAATTCTCATTATATAAATCTTTCTGCAGCAGAATCAATATTGGTAAACAAATTGTAATTAGCTCCTTCTTGTAAACACACATACAGCGTACTGCTAATCGTACAGCCTTTCATGTTACACAGTTGAATTTTGTATCTGGCTAGAGAAATTTTATGTAGTCGCCATGCCAAAAAAATAAAATAAACCTAATTAAAATGTTTGTCTGTGGACCTTTTCTGTCCCATCCATCAGCTGACTTTACTATTGTTTTTCAAACAATAGAATAGAAATAATTAGGGTTGATGCATGATTATACTGTGCCTAAAAATTAAAAAAGGAAAAAGATATCTGATTGCATAATGATTGCAAACTGCCCATTTTTACATACCGGTACAGGTATGGAGATGGGAGTATTTTTACTTAATACCTGAAGAGTAGGCATGCCCTGGTCCTCTGGGAGTGTGTGGGAGGATCTTGATGTATTGGCGCCGCCTTGACCCTAACTCCTCCCCATCCATCTATCGCCCTATCACTACTACCATTTGCCTCCAAGACCCTTGAGAGAGCTGTGTACACGAGATTGACCAACGTCCTCTAATCCAACTCTGCTTGACCCACTTCAGTCTGGATTCTGCACTTGTCAGTCTGTCGAAACAGCTCTGACCAAAGTATCCAATTATTTAATCTCTGCAAAATCTTGTGGCCACTGTTGTATTTTAATTCTCCTAGACATGTCTTCTGATTTTGACACTAGTGATCATCAACATATATACCATAGAGGTTTTGGGATTGGGATTCTGTTCTGTGGAGCGATGAAACAAAACTCTTTAGCCCAATGGATCAGCAGTATGTCT